GTCTCACGAACCGATGTGCGTCACAGGGAAAGAGAAGATTTACTGCACACACACAACCGCAGACTCTGGGAGCGGCCATGGTCTGAGCATCATTGCGACACCATCTGCTGCGGGAAAGCTGTCGTCAAAGTTTAGCAAGCAAAAGAAGAAAGTCAGGCGTTCCGAAGATGGCCTCCAAGTACGCTCTATCCCAGGCAAAGGCAAAGGTCTCTTTACGACAAAACTTATCAAGAAGGGGGAGACGATCCTGCTTGATCCAGCACGTATAATCGCAAGTTCTCACTTCCCAGCAAGGGTATCGCACGCCCAAGGCCGGAGTTTATTCAACTCCGCACTCGCCCGACTTCCCGAAGAGGATCACAAAATGGTTGCGGCATTGGATCAGAGTTTGGGTGGTAGTCCAATCGAGGACGTCATGAAGACCAACTCTTTTGCCTGTCGGTTAGACGATGGCAACGTAGACAAAGCCTACATCTGCCTCTTCCCCTCCGTCTCCCGCATCAACCACGCTTGCCAGCCCAATGCGCTCGCACGCTTCGTTCCAAAGACACTGTCCATGCAAGTCAAGGCGAAGCGTGACATTGCCGCAGGAGAAGAAATAAACATTTCGTACGGAAGGGTAGACTTGACGCGCGAAGAACGACAGGAGCTGTACAAGGATGGATGGAACTTTGAGTGTACATGCTCGCTCTGTACGGCGCCGCACGGCGAAACAAAGGCAAGCGACGATCGCCGCATAAGATTTGCTAGGCTCAAGCAGAGGCTTCGGAATCTGACAGCGGAGACTTATGACGCGAAACAAGTAGTCGAGTGGGAGAAGGAAGTCATGGCGATTGCGCAGTCCGAAGGCTTGGAGGTGTTGCTGGCCGAGGATTACGAGAGACTGGCATACGTGTATGCAGGCCATGGAATGGCCACCGAGGCACGGCGTTGGGCGGAAAAGGCCAAGCAGAACTTGCTCGATTGGGCGGTTGAGGACAGTCGTAGAGATGAAGATGTCAGGAGATTGGATGAAACGCTCGCAGAGTTAGGTTGAGGTTTCATGGCTGAACTACTACTTTGGTGCCTGGCTATTGCTCATACTTTCCTAATGAGGCCCTCTCCACTTTGGCAAGTAAGGCTGCCTCGGATTGTCATCCGCACTTTGTAAAGTTTGAGCCCATAATCTGATGTCTGCAGCATGGGTTTCATCTGTACTCATGCCGTAGTAGGGCGCTAATGGTCTTCGGAAGAAGGCATGCGCTTCCGGCTGTTGGTAGGATTGGGGAATGGGGAATGGGGAATGGTCGAGTCAGCCCGACAAATCCGTCCACGGCAGATGGGCGCTGCAAGACTTGTCTCTCTCAAAAGCGTTAGGACGATGCTGTTCACTTTCAGATCGGTTTCCTCGGGCACCAGCTGACGGTGCCAGTCTGCCAAGTGAGCAGGTACGCGTTCACGCATGTGCATGGGTCGAAGAGGGCTTGGTGCGTTTTCCTCAAACAGGATAAGGACCCTGCGCGGGATCTGGGAAAAGGAGGTCAGAGCATCTGGTGTAACTAGGTAACCACGTCTAGAAACGATTGGAATGCGACAAAAAAGTAGCAAGGCCAAATCTCCACGTAGATCGGTGACGTATGGGAGCTCCTGGCTAGGTCGGATCCTGATCAGGGGGTCCCGGCTCTTCAATTCCCGGGTACAGGCGAGTTGAGATCTGACTGACGATCTCCATAAGCAGAGCAAAATACGCCAGAAAAACGAGACTGGGAAGCCACAACCGCAGGGCTATTGCAGAAGCGATCAGAGTGAGATTGTCCTCAAAAACGGGTTGAAGCAGCTGTAATGAGCTTGGCTGGTGGCTAACTTGGAGTGTGCTGAACTTAGTAGCAAGCCATGCGGCTGGCCGTTGTCTCTAGCCAGCGAACAAAAAAAAAGAATGGCAGGACGGTTGGCGGTACCGTTTACAACGGCGATGAGTCGCATCGCAAGAGTGCAGAAAATAGAGATGTCAGAGGAGCATATGCCCGGATGCAGAAGGGAACTGCAGAGGACCGTCTCTACGCACGTATGACCGATGCCCAGTCTGCGTCTTGACCTATCATCTGCTCTTCACCTTAACATCATTGTCCCTGCATGTCAAACTTTCCCCTTGACCCCCTAGGCGCATTGCTCTCTTGGTCACCCATTCCCCGCGTGGGTTCTACTCGTCTTGACGACCTTCTCTTTGTGGCCGGGGCCAAGCAAAAAAAGGCGATTTCAAACGCCCTACCTGGTGGTACACGTCAAAGCAAGTCAAAACATGGGGGGGGGGGGGGGGGGAAACTTGCGCTCGTGCTCTGCAGCGTAAGATGAGCCACACAGTGGCGCCCAGACGACCCGTCGCCTTTGTTTTTTCGCTCCTTTGGCTGCTAAAGTCTTCTGGACTCGAGGCGGTACGCCTGGACGCGGGCGGCCGGTTCGCTGCGTTACCCCAGCCGAGTCGTACTTACTTACGCTTGCGGAACCACTGCGAAGAGGTTTTGCCCACCTTGTTTCATGGCGCGACTGGGTCTACCCTGCTATTTTGGTCAGCTCAGCCTGCGCACGCAGGTAGACTTGACAGGGCTCCGTCGCATAATACTGCAGAGTAAGGATCACAGACTAAATATGGCCCTGCAATCCTGCCCGTCCCACAACCATATGTATATGCAGTGGTTAAACACCTAACTGTCTATATCTCCGTAGTCTCTCAACATCACCGGTTCACTCTTTTACTTTTTGGCTGCTAGCCGTGACCTTCTTTCCCACTGGTCTCTTTGCTTTCATAGTCTCTCCTTTGCTTTCTTTTTTTTCGTTTAGTCTTTTGTCTAATATGGTTGGGTGCCGATCTCTTCTAACGGTCCTTGTGACTTTGGCGGCCGTTGTAAAAAGCCAACAATGCTATGGCGTCGACGGATCGCTGCTCGATAAATCATACACACCATGCAACCCCAGCGCAAAGAATAGTGGTTGCTGCGCGAGCGGCGACATTTGTCTGAGCAATGGACTGTGCATGGGAACTCAAGGAGCCTCGATTGGCGTCATCTTTTCAAGAGGCTGCACAGATTCCACTGGAAAGGATGTAGCATGCCCACAGCAATGCTCTGGTGGTATGTCTTTACAAAAAACATTTAACAATACGAGCGATTCTGACAAGTTGACAGGTTCCAGCAACTCAAACAGCGCATCCACAACCGCCGCATGGCAACTCGAAACCTGCGACTCTGGTGAATACTGCTGCCGTGCAGCCAACTCTACCAAAAGTTGCTGCAACAACCCCACAGCACCCCGAGTCACATCACCTCTCAGCGCCACCCTCCAGATACCAGCCCCAGCCTCAACACCAGCAGCCGACAGCCCCGACCAAGAACCCGCATCTTCCAGCCCTAGGCCTACACTACCAATCACCTCCAACTGCCAGGAAGAAAAGACCCACACAGCCATTGTCGGCGCCATCCTCGGAGGCCTACTTGGCGGCATCATACTCGGCCTTATCATTGCCGTGCGATGGATGTACAAGCGCGAGCGTCGCCAACGCCGCCTCAAAGAACACTACGAGACGCAAATGTCAAAGACCAACGCCTACCGCAAGGCCCTCGAGGAGACCGTCGGCTCAGCGAGACCCAGTCTCTCTCTCGAACAAGTCGTATCAAAGTCCTAGTCAATGCAGCAGACTAGATTTTGAACGACAACAACGATAGCCCCAGCGATGGATGCTGCTTGTTACTAATATCAAACATGTACAACTCGACTTTTTTTCCTTTGTTGTTGTTTTCATCTACAACTTTCACTTCTCTACTAATTGTTGTTATTACAAAAAAAAACCCTCTTTGGCTTTTAGCGCTTTTTTTCAACTCTCTTTACCGATTGTCATTTTTTGTTCTTTTCTCATATTAGCGTCGGTGTTTTTCCTGGATTGGATGGCTTGGGTATGACATCGCGTGGACGAAAGCAAAGGACCAGGCAGACAGTATGTGGGTTGTGTTTGTGGTGGTATTTGGTTTCGGTCCGGCATCGGCTCGGGGGTACTAGTAATCTCCCGACTATTCCCTTCCCCCCTCCCCTATGTTTTTTTTCGCATTCGTTTATCTCCCTTCTGTTTTCTTCTAGATACCACGATTCGCTTCGTCAGCGAGACTTTGTTCGATATCCCCCCCTTTTTGTTTCCTTTCTCGGTCTGTTGAAACAAACACAGTTCTCAACCCTTATGTTTCCTTGATGTATCTCATGTCGTTTTGCCCTTTTTTGTAGATTCAAGACTGCTTCGCAGCAACTTCTCCAAGCTACACATTGCAGAAATGTAATTCGAAACCAACAAACGAAAAATCAAAGTATTCATCAATCACATCAAACAACCTTGTCATTTCAGAATACGACTATGATTGGTAATAACGCTGTCACTGTAGGGACAAGGTGAGCAGACAGTAAATTAATCGTAATCATCGTTAAAAAAAAGAAGCTAGCTCAGCATCCGAGATCTTCCGCACATTCCTGTAAGCAAAGGGCAGTTGTAGGCCCCTCTGACCTTGCAGCATCCTATATACATACATCGAGTAGTCTGCTTACATGCCAAGCACTCGCAATCATCACCCTATTACTAACAGACTAAACTCATCTCACCAACTACGGCGCTGCACAACTCGAAACAAGTATAAATCAACTTGTTGGCTTTTTCGTCTGTGCATGTAATATGTACCTCGTGAGCAAGATGTAAGACCGAGATCACAAAAAAGCGCTAAAGCCAATGGGAACTTCCTTTCGTTACTAGTGTTGGTTTCGTACGTAACATCGAGTTGGCCCGCTGTGGACACGGTGCTATTTGCACTCAGTCCGGGAGCTCCGTGGTGTGTGTGTGTGTGATAACAAACCAAAACTGCGATCAAAGGGGAGAGAAGATCCCTTTTGAGAAGCTATTAGCGGGCGTAAATGATTATCATCCAGCGTACTTGAGAAGTTATTGGCGCACATTCAAACAAAGGCAGGGGTGGCAAGATGCACAGGTTGTATAGACAATGTTCCATTCGTTATCGTTACACACAAAAAGTAGTTTCCTTCTAGGAATAGATCCCAACCCAGCAGTAACCTCATACCAATTGCTACCTGGATCCCTAAATATCCAATCCTTGAGCACGGCATTTGTCGCTGATGGATCCCCCAGTAGATGAGTCAACATTGCATGTAAGTACGTTGAAAACGCAAGGAGCTTTCGGGTCGGCCGGTAAGCCATTCTCAAATGGGTTGGTCAACTGCTGCTTGTTATTCGCATCGAAGCAGTCAGTTGGGCCCTTCATTATTTCCTCCTTGGTGAATCCGTATTTTGATATCAAAGTGTCGCAGAGATCACCCAAGCTTACTGCATTTTCTTGTCTATCCAATTGTGTCAAGATGCGGACAGTAGAAGTACCATCTCCGTTATCTGTGCACAGCCAGTTCGCTTCTGCTTCTCGGCAGTTTTCAACCTTGCCGTTGCGGAAAACGAAAATCTTCTGCGCTTGCAAGGCGAGGCCGATTGCGTTGCGGGTAATTGATTCACTAACGAGGTCTTGGAGATCGCTTTGTGTGAAGTTTTCGCTTACACCTAGGAATGCACCTCCTTTAATAAGTTCGTCTATACATGTGAGTAACTGTATTTCATACGAATTGATACCCGAAAACTTACTGATTCCATCCGTTGGATCGTCAACCACTGCATTGAGCGATTTGTCCAAGGAATCCGAAATGCTGCGCTGGAAATCGCTCAGGACATCGCTCATTGTTTGTCCAAGATTGCTCCATGCAAGAAACCTATCTGGTGGAGTAGGTGGTACAGCACGCCTCAGGGCAGTTCCCAGGCCAGTGTTAACACCGCTTGAAACTGTGGTCAGAGCACCGGTGAACGGAATTACGCTTAGGACACTGCTGACCATGAATCCAATGTTCTTCAAGGGCGTGATGTCATCTTTGGGATCCGGATATACATCTTGGACAATCGATCCCAATCTCAAAGAGATGATTGAAGAGGCGAAGCCAACAGCGGTATTGAGGCTGTTCATCCAATTGTTGTAGTTCTGAATAGCCAGCGCAGCATACCTGCAGAGCACTAGTTAGTACCGTATGCTACATGATCCTTCATATTTATCCCCAATGAAAAAACATACCAAGCAGGCGGTTGAATGGGCAAGCATGGTTGGCCAGCATTGCAGAATTTGTCCAGACCACAGAAGAAGTTAGGAGCACCGAAGGAAGCGGCTAGAGATTGAACGTTATTGCTCGTTGTCCTGGTGTAGTTCTTCGCAGCATTCGCCAGAAAATCGTCGATTTTCAAGTCGGTCCATGTCTTGGGCTCCAATGCATCAACACGACATGAATCTGCGCCAGTTCCTGTGCCTTGCGGTAAGGCCACTGGAGAGGCCAAGGCTACGCTGGAGAGGTACAACACAATGGTACCCTTTAGATGCATGATTTAAGTAAAACCAGCCGAAGCATAAAATGATACAGAAGAGTTGTAAACGAATGTAGTTGGTTATCTGAATGAGTGGATGGTGCTCAATGGCGTGGTGCTATTTCTTCTGAGCATCCCCAAGAGTATATATACAGTATTTGATCACTTGACTTCAGAATTATGTAAAAACTCATTGCTATTAGCTGATGATGCATGTTGTCCATGCCAAGAGTGGCGATACTACCTGAAACTGCGGAACAGCTATGCTCCCCAAGAAGGACCGAAAGCGTTGTAACAGGTATACGAATTGGGAACATGAAAGCCACTATTTTTGTATCGCATAGACTTCAAAGCCTAGTTTCCAAGGCCGTTTGGGCCGAATTTCGTATCTCGAGACTACACTCCTGGTAACTCGTTATGGTAGTGAAACAGCGACGTACGTAGTAGTGGCGTGAACGATTGTACTCTCATGCGGAAGCCTTGGCATGCCGACTTGGCCGCCGAGATGAAAGGATACACAGACCCGGAGTTCCCCCAGAATGTCATTCTTGGCTCGGGTTTCTCGTCCGGAGAGAGGCAGAGCTTCATAGTTTCTACACATGTAAGCACTCAAGATCTAGACCAAATACCCGAATGTAGTTACGGGCATAGCTATAGGCACAGAACAGCATGTCACCAATTCATGCCACCATAAAATATAAATTTATTCTAGGTGTATGATAACTAACTTGTTTTATTAGTGTGTTGGCCAAGCTATTGTACTCACTATCTTGACCGTTCTTGGAATGCTCTCAGTCGATCGGTGAAATCGGAAAACCCAGAGCTACCTTTACTACGAATTATCAGCACCACCACAGTGTTATGTTGAACAGAATGTAAAGGGATACGTATAGTAAGACTACAATTAAGTGCAAATTAGGTGAAATATCACTGGTAGCACCGTACCAGCAGTTAAGGCTTCAAGCGGGCTTTACTGTAGACTTTTTGTGCTGGGCGATCTTATTTCCGACTTCATCGGTCGACCGAGAGGAAGGAACCTCCCTCATTTTCACCACAATGCCTCTTCAGGAAATGAACGATGGATTGACTTCTACGCTAAGCAATACGACATCACACCACACACGCATGCACGTTGTGCCTTCAACGCTCCACCTCCCCCAACTTACCCATGAGCAGCGCATCCACTCTCTCTCCCTTGGCCAGGCTCCCTTCCCCCTTTGGCATACACAACAAAGCGTTTGCGCCCTTGAAACTGCCAATACGACTGCTCCTCTGGCCTCCCGTGGAACTCGCATACAAAAGCCCATCTTCCTTGGTCACCACTAGCGCACGATGATACTCAGGCCTTCCTCTATCCATTTTGACATCCTCTTCCAGCACTACTTTGATGCGCGGTAGTCCCGCAGGCTTGATGCCCGCTTGTTGGTGCAGCGCTGGCAGTACGAAAAGATGGAAACAGACGACTGCTGAAGCAGGGTTACCAGGCAAAGAAAAGATGGTTTTGTTGACGGTGTTGCCGGCGTTATCTTTTACAGGGACTGTCGCAAAGGTGGTTGGTTTACCGGGTTTCATGTTTACGCGACCAAAATGAATAGTACCGCCGAGAGTGCGCTCAATGGTGGGTTTGAGTAGGTCGAGTTCGCCCATGGAGACGCCGCCTGAGGTAATGATTACATCGCATTTGCGCATCGCATCACGAAGGGTCTGCTCCAGTGTACCTGGTCTAATAAAGAAACCCCTGTTAGCTTTATTGAAGCAGAGATTGAACGTTGGAGGTTAATGAAAATTCGTGAGAAACGTACTTGTCAGAGACAATGCCAAGATCGATGACCTCAAATCTGTGGCTACGGGCGGCAGTAATCAGTGTAGGGCGGTTCGTATCACGGACTTCTCCTAGTCGGAGTGGGCCTTCCCTGTCGTGTGGGATGATTTCGTCTCCCGTGCTTAAAACACCAACAACTGGCCTTCTGTACACTGATACTTCCCGTGTACCAACAGAGGCAAGGAGTCCAAATTCCCCACCTACAACTGTGACGCCCTCTCCCTTTTTCATAATGGTCTCACCTTCTTTCACATCGCTACCCACCTCGCGTACGTTCTCACCAGCTTTAATCTCATCTGTGAGAATTTCAATTTCCTTTTCCTCTTGGCCGTCATCCGTCAACGTCTTGAGTGCGGTATCTTCCACCATAATGACAGCATCAGCACCAGGCGGAAGTGGCGCGCCTGTAGTGATTCTCGCAATCTCTCCCTCTTTGAGTTCTTGCACCTCGCCAGGCTGGGCATGTGAGATGATCGAGACTGGGTACACGCCCTTCTCGAACTTGCCTGAAGACGGAATTTTGACAGCGTAGCCATCGACAATACTGGCTCGGAAAGCCGGAACAGATTCAGTCGCCTTGATGTCCTCGGCAAGAACGGAGCCGCCTATCTTCATGTTTACAGGGACTTTCTCTACGATAGGAGCTGGTGTCTTCTCTGCAATAAGTTTCAGGGCCTCGTCGACAGCCAGCATGGGATATGGCGAGGACCGGTATCTCTTTGTTGGTCCTGATGAAGGATCATTTGACTGCGGACGCTCTTCTGGCTTTGTATGAGCCTTTGGCCCTACATGACCGCCATGTCCGTGATGATGATGTCCACATCCACCTCCGGTTCCTATAATGATCCATTATTACCAGCACAACTTTTTGAAAGACACGAACAATATTTGACATACCAGCAGTAGGAGCGCTCCCTGATGAGACGCCTGCATCTTTCTCAAGTTTCTTCACACCACCAGCGTGGAGCGGTCGTGACTCTGCACCAGCTGCTTGAAGGCATGCATGTGGTAGCAACTTGAGCACCGCTTCTAGATTCTCTTTGGCACCTTTTGGCGATCCAGGCAAGGTCAGAATCAAAGTTTGTTTTCGAACTCCAGCAACAGGCCGTGCCATCAGGGCAACTGTAAATCATTAGCATAAATCTTGACCAGAATATGACATTACAGACAAGGTGTGACTGCGTACGAGGTCGTAAGCATGCCATGGCTAAAAAAGGCGTTAGTAAACAGCCAAACTCTCCTCAAAAAAGTTTACCCACATAAGACCTGGAGCATGTCTGTCAATCAATGGTGTAACTGCCTTTGACTGATCAGTTCTTCGACTTTGGGATGATTCACAAAGATGCACAAACCTCCGGTGTGACATCTTTAGTGGCAAACCCAGTTCCCCCACTTGTAACAACCAAGTTTACAGGCTCTGGTCCATCAGTCCAAGTCTTGATAGCCTTCTGGATTGTAAGAGCATTGTCAGGTATGATTTCCGTCTCGCTAACGTCCCATTGGTTGTTCCCGAGATCGCCGAAGACTTGTTTCAAAGTCGGTATGCATTTATCGGTTGTAGGGTCTTGCGAGGCCGTCTCGGAGACGACCAAAATCGCTGCTCTCAACTTGGAATTCGTAGTAGCCATTTTATAAGGTGGTAATGTCGAGTCTAAATGAGGTGGAGCTGGTGTGACATCCCACGTTCGTTAACCCAATGCACGGACCATCAACCGTATGTCGAATGATTACTCAGACGTCAGCTTCACGTTGGCAGGAGTATTTGGACAAATTCTCTTAAAAAAACTGGTATTTAATGCCGGTGATTGCTCATAGTACACATGCATTATACAAGCGCCCTCCCCATGTACATCGTACAAACTTCTACAACAGTAACTTTCTGTAACGTCCAAGCCAGCTTCCTGTGCTGATACCTGGAGCACTTGTTTGCTGGTTGCCTTCAAGCATGATCAAAGATCGACCTGGTGGGTTTTTCTGAAATCTGGCGTAAACCAATAAAGTCCCTATAAGCTCACTCAAAGTCCTTTGCGTTGCTTTGCATCAACAATCCAATGATAAGCCCAAACAGTCCGAGAATGGCGGCAAAGATTTCGATAGTGAGAATCTTGACGAACCTAATGGAAAGTTAGCGAGCAAACGGAGTCTGCGGATGTGGGTGACTTGCAGTGCAGGGTCGGCGGCGTCAGCCAGAGCAGCGCTGCTTCCGTTGATGCCAACGCAGACACCGCAGATCAGGTTGCACATGCCGACGGTAAGACCAGCCCAGAAGAGAGCGTATCCGGTGAAGTAGTTTGATCCAGAGTAGAGCAGCTCGGGGTCGGTAAGCTGGGTCATCTTGGAGGAGAAGATGATGGCCATGATGACGCCGTAGATGGCAACGACTTCACAGAAGATGATAGAGATCAAGTTCTTGGTTCGTATCCGGGGTGCCTTGACACCTCCGCCGACGATGGACACGCCAGTTGTCCAGATTCCCCTTTGCGACTGTCAGATGCGAATTGTATGTGAATGTGTTTGCTGCGCGGAGACGTACCATGCGGATCCTACTACGGAGAGGCCGATGCACAGCGCGATTCCAAGACTAGCCCAGGTGTACGGTGATACGGTTTCGAGGAAAGCTCCGACCTGGTGCGCAATTAGCCATGCATGTATATAACAGTAGCGCAGCGCGTTCTCACATTGAAAGCCTCTCCTTCGCCGTGGAAGAGCATGTCTGGTTGTAGTTAGCTATGCCGTTGCCGTCGCCCCTGCGCGCTGTACGTACACAAGGCAACCACACCAAGGGCGGCCGTGGCGCCGCCCGTTCCGTACGTGAGAGACATGTTGGATGTAAAGTGGTCGTAGAGGCGGAGATGGATGCTGGAGGGGGCTGCTTGGAGCTTCGTCGTGATGGACGGGCTCTGAAGCTGGCGATGATGCAGGCGGAACAAGCCGCGGCGCGCTAGCTCCACTGGCTTAGTAACCTCCGCTCCGCGCTCCCCAACCCTCCTCGCACCCAAACGTCACCATCCCCAGAACACACCAGTTCGTCGCAAACACCAGCACCATGGCCACCGACAACACAAAGTACTATGAGCTCTACCGCCGAAGCAGGTACGACTTGCGACCGCAGAGACGCCATGTCGGCCCCATTAGCTAACACGCTGCAGCCTGGGCGGCTCTCTCACAGACACGCTGGATCACCTCATTACTGAGCGCCGAATAGAGCCCCAGCTCGCCATGAAGATTCTCGCCAACTTTGACCGGGCCGTGGCCGATGTGCTTTCCGAGAAGGTCAAGGCACGGTTGACATTCAAGGTCGGTTGCGCCTGGACACAGAGTCGAGCCTCGTTATACTGACTTGGGTCGCCTTAGGGACATCTTGACACATACCGCTTCTGCGACGACGTCTGGACCTTCATTATCAAGGATATTAACTTCAAGCTGGATAACACCCATCAGATCCACGCCGACCGCGTCAAGATCGTCAGCTGCAATGCGAAACGTCCTGGTGAAGCATAAAGAGCCCTGTCCGCACATTGATAGAGTCAAGGATACTCAGAGATATATCAGAGAGCTACAAAAATGGCTGTAGTCGAAAATGCACAGGACCCGGGGAATGCGGCGTCACCCAAACTCCAAGTGTCTGCTCATAGGGTTGACCCTCTGGCACATTTTTAATCGGAGTTATGATTTTGGACAGGGAAAAACCACGATACCTCTGGCATAATGGGAGTTTGGAGTTTGGCATTTGCAATTGGCGTCTGGACTGACGCACTCAGAATGGAATAAGCGTGAAGCATGCGCATATCATATACCGTCCCTCACTTTCCTGTCTTGGATGCATCATGACCCAGTGTGACTTTGCTATGAGATAGCCTGTGCTCATTCATTCTCTCCGCATTACAGATGCGCGCCCCTTTGTGTGTGTGTGTGTGTGCACAAGCTTCATGGCCAGAATCATGTGAAGCTAACAGCTGCGCGCAGCTACCCCATGTCTTCCAACTAGGGTCGGTACGTAGCGCATCCGTACCTTGCAGATCGCCAACCCTATCTTGATACCAATCAACCCTGCTGTCAACCTCAACGTTGCTTTGAGCCTCATCCCCACTCCCACAATAGCAAAACAAAGGGGTAGCCATGTCTGCTCCGAAAACAAGGTCAGCATGGCTGGCACTTGCCATCTCCAGTGGTGCATGCGCAGCCTTCAACGGCGTGTTTGCAAAGCTGTACAACACCCTCCGCGTCACCGTTATCTACATTGCATACTAACCACGCTGCAGTACAACAACAACACTCACAGCTTCATGGTCGAGTTCTATAGCCGTAGCTTTCGGCCTCGGTGCTTCCAATAAAGTCGTCGAGTATGCGATTCGAGGGGTCCGTCTCTACCTGCGTCTACGTCTCAGATGAATCCATCTCAACTGTCTAACGCCACGAGCAGCTCTTCTTCGGCATGAACCTCCTCTTCAACGCCATAATGTGGGGTCTCTTCACACGTGCTCTTACCCTCGCCTCCTCGACCGTACGGGTTAGCATTATCAACACGTCTGCAAATTTCATCATCACCGCTATCCTTAGTTTCATCATCTTCAGCGAGAGCCTCCCCGCGTTGTGGTGGCTCGGCGCAGCAATGCTCGTAGCTGGGAGCGTGATTATTGGAATGAGAGAAGAGACGGAAAAGCAAGGTGTCATGGCTACAACGGGTGAAGCTCCGCTTCTCGATGGCAATGGCGATGCAAATACCGAGGGATTCAGAGACGATGATGAAGACCAGGACCATGTAGAACTGAACAGTGTCAGTAATGAAGAAGAAGAGAGTAGCGATGAAGATGGTGTGTTAAAATAGATAGGTAGGCAAATCACCATCCCAATACATAAGCATCATTCGGAGCCTTTTTATTGGAGCTTGATGATTTCAACGGTACGGCTCCTTCCACAATCCATAAGAAGCTGCAGTCCACCAGCTCGATCATTCACTTATAAGCTTGCAATCCCTTCCTTAAAGTAAGAACAGACCGCTCTGGTAGCTACGTGCCTTCTACACTACAGTTCCACACTGCCTTTCTGCAAGACTAGGATACAGCGACCAACCCCCTACAGACCACTCCTGCACTTGGGTCTTTCTACGAGACTAGCGTACGTGGCCAACCCGCCAGCCTTAAAAGCAGAAAAATGGCGCACAATAACCCATCCAATGTGCTCGACCCTGATGCTCCCGCGTTCTCCTCAAGCTCTAGTCTCTCTCAACAGGCCTCTAATCAACATCAATGGGGCTTTCAGGCGCTTCAGGTCCCGTACATACATCAAGGTACCTCGTACTATACCTACCCACCGCAAATACTGCCACCACCACCACCACCATCTCTACAACAATCATCTCAACCACTGCCATCACAGCCACTACCATCGCAAGCCCATGATGGTTACAATAGTAGCAGCAGCAGCAACCACGGCAATGGTAACGGAAACGGCTATAGCAGCAACGTCCACAGAAACGGCTACAACAGTCCCTACCAAACTGGGTTCACCACTCCCCATAACAACCTTTACACCCCCTTCACTAATGCCAACATCACTACCCCTTTTCACAATGTTCAAAACATTACTCTCTCCTCCAATGGCTACCACTACTTCCACTTCCACAACAACTGCAACTACACAAACAGCCACTACAACAACAATTTCCCCTCGTCGAACTCGTATCCCACCAGCTACTCAAACCACAGCCTCTTCCCCGCCTTCTCCGGTCAGATGCACCAAGTCGAGGGTATCTCCAACAGCTTTCATGACCAACGCAATGCCACCAATGGACATGGTGGCGTCTGTCAGCAACAACCAAAGAAGGACAGTGGAAAAAAGAGCAAGAGGAACAAGAGGAAGAAGCATGGAAAGAGCAAGGGTAAGAAGAAGGATGAGGCCAATGGTGACGAGCTTGGCAGCGACAAGATGAATGGAGATGGCGCTGGTGGAAATGATGCCAATGGAGTTGAGGCAAACGGGGGTGAGAGTAATGGCAGCGAGGCCAATGGTGATGGCACTCGTGACGGTGATACGTCCAACAAAAGGGATTGGAAATTTGGAGAAGAACAAACCTAGACAGCTATCTCACGGTTTACTGGCGAACGTGGTAGTCTTCATCTCGCCCCTCAACATTCACCTCATTACTACCACTCTTACCCCTTCCAGGGCCGATTGTAATATGCAGCTAAAGCTGGAGTTAGCGCGGGTCTCATTCTTCGGGCTGGCGGTGTATCTTCAAAAAACAAAAACAGGTTTCATTTCCACTTTTGGTTCTTATTCTTCTTTCGACCACCACTTTACACGAATTGTTACGTCACAGAAAGGGTGGAATGGAGACTTTCACTATCAGATTATCTCATGCATTTTTCTTTTTGCTTTATTCGCGCCTACTAGCTATACATTCACACTTACTAGCTGTTACTATAGCACCTTATGTCTCGCTCCCATCCACACCTAATGTAGGCGTCGCAATGCCTCAATTAATCCCTTTACTTCTTCCAGTTCCACTCCCAAACCATCAATCGCCTTGTGCTGCACCTCCTCACTCACATCCAAAAACCGCTCAACCAGCTCTCCGTCCACAAATCGCATGGGCTCTTCTTCTTCACGCACTGAGTTCTTGAACGCGCGGAACTTCGCAAATTGCATGTCACCGGGTGCGGCGACGAGAGACCCAAGGTTGGACTGCAACGTCATGAGAAGATTCTGGTAGTCCGGTGATATGAGGCCAAAGAGGTAAATTGAGCCTTCGACCTACGGGTTGGAAGTGGTCAGCGAATCTATTTAGCAATAAGAGGCAAGTCAGACTTACAGTTCCAACAAAAGCTTTTGGTACGATGACTGCATCCGCCGCGGTCAAAACATCTACCCTGCGTATCCTGTTCACCATCTCGCCGAGTAACATCTCGGAGCTGATGTTCAGTCGTCTTTTATCGTCGTCGGTGACGCCGTTTGGATCGCGGTACAAGACCACTAGGTTACCTTCTGCATCGCTTTCAAGATACGTGTTTGTGTCTACCTCTGCCACGGCCGTCGCCCATGTAATCTGGTAATGTCGTGCGACTTCCACGAGCTTATCGGGAAGACCCGTTTCGCCCTTTGTGTATTCAACTATGACGAGCGATTTCATGAGATCTGCTATCGCGATCAAGGAGCCGTTCACCGTGACGTCTATTGGAGCTGTTGAGCATCGGAATGATGCAAGTTTGACGAGATCGGGTGTGCTAGGAGCTCGGTACTCAAAGTCATACACAACGATTGTCTTGATGAGTGCAGCGACAATCTTGCCTTGGCATATGGCCAGGCACCTGCATCCACCTTTTACGGCAATCTCAGTGACAAGCTTGAGTATGCGCTCGGGTGTGACTTCCAAGACAATGATACGACCTCGTTCAGATGTCGTGTTCTGGTCATCAACGTATGCGGTACCGACAACAAAGCGCTCTGCTAGCCCACCAGAGCCGTCTGGTAGCTCGCAACGCATAACGCATTCGACCAGCTCTTCTTCGTTGAGCGCATATGTGTCGAGTTCTTTGAATTGTATTTCGTCGACGAGCTTGAAGTGGCTCAGCATAATCTCCTCTCCATGCTTCAGTATGCGCTTTATCGTGCCAAGACCAAAGGCTTTTAGACTCGGTGAGTAGGCTATCCGCCGTACCGTCTCATCAACCTTGAGTGTTTGTACGTGGGTAGTTCTTTCGGTGTCTACAAGCGCAATGCGGAGGTCTTGAGATGTGGCGATCGCAACGGAACTAGGATATGCTTCTGAATCGAACGGACAGACTGTTGTCGCTTTTTCAGCCGTAACAGCAGAGTACACAAGGCGGCCTTCTGACGCGTAAATCAGAGAAGGGTGTTCACATGTTGCAAACACGTTGAAGAGACCATCGCCCCGTGGTAGGGCGCGGAAGGTAGCTTCGCGTGTTCCAAGCACGATACTCTTTCTTCCGGAAAGCTCGTGGTTTGACGGGTCAAAAGTGTACGTGACAACATTTCCATCAGCCAAAGCGACAAAGAGGGACGGTGGCTGATCAGGGAATATTTGTGTGAGAAGCAACGAGCGTGGAACAGAGTCGTCGGATATTTGAACAGTTTTTACGGCCTCAAGAGTATCGAGAGAGCATATGGCGAGCTGTGAGTTGTTCCAGAAGCCAACAAAACAAGTGGAGCTGGTTCCAGACGGCACGGTAACGCAAGCAACCTGGCTCTCGGCGCCAAACGTCTTCTCCTTGACCACTTGTAGCCCGTCGGCCATGCTTAGGGAGACTATGGTGACGCCACCCAATGACACAAGAACATGGGTTGCGTTGACCGAGGCGGCAGTGATGGTCTTGCCGTCTGCTGGCACCCATTCCGATGTCATCATGCCGCCGTCCAAATCACAGATTCGAGCTCGGCCGTTGGTGACTTGGACGATGCGGCCTTGTGGGATATTCGCTGCAGCTAGTGTTGTCTCATCGAGAGCGAGCGAGACAAACTCGTCTACTTCCTCGACTTCACCCTGAGAATCAAATCGGAAGACGCGCGATTCGCCCACAAAGCTCACCAATAGTGTGTCTGTATATTGAGCGGAAGGGGCCGATCTTAAGCAGAACAGCTCAGAAATATGCTCCATTTCGCCCAACACACCAAGATCCTCCAGGCCAACGCCACTCCTGACGCTTCGAAGGCTACCATCCTGATATGCACCGCTGCCGGTCACTATTCGTGCTTGGCCAGAGGAGTATTCGTTGGTTTGACCCTCGCCAGATCTGTTGCCCATATCCATTATAGTAAAATCAAGAATGGGAGCAATGTTGGAAAAGGTTTGGACAATCTCCATTGATTTCTCTGCAATTCGGATGACTTGTGAGTCGCCTTGGTGCGAGCCCACAAATACGTAGCCTGCGTCTAGGTAAACCAGGGTCGATGCACGGGACGTCTGACCGATAACATCAAGTTTCCATGACTGCACTCTTCCTTGTGCGTTCAAGACCAGCATGAACATGTAGAGGCGGCCATAGTCGTCGGCGAGGACGAAGCGCTGGGCGTCGATGCGTTCCCAAGCCACAAAAATGGTCGCTTCGTCAAGCGGCTCTGTTTGTAAATCTCCACTTTCGTCATCAAAGTATCCGATTGATGTCTCTCCAATGACTACCAGGCCGTGCGACGGTTCTTCAAGAGGGATCAGGTGGCTTGAACCAAGTTCCAGTTCGCTCTTGCAGGCTTCTCCCTCTTGTAGGTCGACCTCGTCACCGACATATGTCAATTCTCGTAATCTCAGCTTGACTTGGGCATGCGTGTCTTCGTAAAGTAGAGCCATCTTAGGCTTATCGTCTGTGGATCGCGGGCGCAGGAAAGCGGATGAGCGGACGAACATTTCAGGTAATCGAACCGGCTGAGGATCGCCCAGATGGGCAATGTCCGCCTCTTGTTTTCTCTTCTTTCCTCTCTGGACCAATGGTATAACGGTGAGGATGCCCTCGTAGACCTCGATAGTCATGAAGCGGCCAGTAGGGTCAATGTGACATCTCTCGCCCGTTTGCGATTCTCTGGCCGCATTGTCGGCGACGCTCGCAAACGACTTTTCAGTCTGAAGCTGTTTCTTTTCGGCGTTCCATGATAGGGTAAAATACATGAAGCGATCAGTGCCAATAAAGAGGTGGTCGGTGGGAGATAGTGCTGGTCGCAGCTTCTGGAGCATGGTGACTTTGCCATAGATGGCCTTTGAATGTCTCAGGATCAATCCATCTGCCTCATGTGTATAGAATTCGAGTCTATTTGACTTTCTGCCATGATGTTAGCCTCCATCTGCTGCCCTCTCAACATATACTACTTACGCGACTACCAGGCAGTCGTCCTCGGGAGCCAGGAAGTTGAGCTTCAGGGCATGCCTGACACTGCTTGGCCGGTGAATGGGGGCAATATAAGCCATGGCGATATTTAGAAATGCTCCGAAGCCTGTGGGTGGCTCAAAGACTTTAAGTTGAGATTGTCACTGTTGACAGGCCTGGGGATGGTCGGATGCATTCCGTCATGCAGCTGCACGGGCCGCGGCTCCACGCGACTTCGCGTTGCGGGGCGGAGCGAACTTTTGGCTCTTCTGGAACTTTTTGGTTCCGGCGCGCACTTGTGCTCGCAATTCCTCGCCATACACACACAATGGCTCGTAAGACCAGCCTCTGCCTGTAAAAACGCCAAGAAGCGCCGACCTTGCTAACTTGATGGGCGAATTCTAGCAGCCATGGACGTTGAAGATGACGACCCAGTCGTAGCCGAGTACGATGTCTACATCACGCCTGATGTAGCTGAGCAGCAGCTCTATGTCCTCCAGTACCTGAATCGCCCCCCAGACCAGCCCTTCACCAAGGCGACTGAAAGCCAGCCGACCGAGCTACGCATCAAAAAGGACTCTGGGTTCATCGAGGTCGACGTGCCCATCAACATTCACCGCAACTACAACCGCCTCGCTGGTGTGCGATGGGGCGAAGCCATGCGCAAGACTAAGGGGTTTGGGCAAAAGGCTTTTGGTATCGCCTCTGGATTTGAGCGGACCATGCCACGCAGTGGGAACCGGCCTGGCGCTGCCGGCGAAGGAGCACCCGTAGCACCCGTTACCGCCGAGGATGACGATAACATCGAGGAGTACGTGACTCATTTTGAGGACGCCAACGAGAAAGGGCACGTCCTCAACACACAGACTTTTGGAGGCCAGATTTTGCATGAGGACGGCAAGGGCCCTAGCTACATGCTCGGCACGTTCCGTGACAGTAAGTTATCGCAACCTGAATTGCGCCGTCGACCTTCCGCTAATTTTTGGTAGACGAACTCCACCTCACACGCATTGACGGTCTGGTACAACTCCGAACACAATTTCACCACATTGACGCCTCCGCCCAGCTAGAAGCAGTTCAGCGCCGGCGCGAAAAAGAGTCACAAGAGGGCGCAAAGCTTGCAGAGCCAAAAGCTTTCCTCGCCCAGGTCAAAAAGACTGGTGGCGACACAGCTGCCGAGCTGACGCAAGCTTTTATGAAGGCGACAAACCAGGAACAGTGGCAAAGACTTAATTACTTTGACGAAAATGTAAGTAGTCTGGTGCAAGACGGCTACGCATAGCAACTAACGTCTTTTGCAGGACGAGAGGGCCTTTGAATCGTATCATGAGCGACTATTCATCCAAGACGTCGCATCCGCACCCAAGCTGCAGGCTAAAATTGACAATAGCGGCTTTCTCGACACCATCAGCACGAGCGGCAAAGGAGGTAAAAAGAAGTCCAGGCGCAGTATCCAAGACCTGGTTGAAATCTCCGACGAGTCCGACGAAGACGAAGAAGAAAAAGAAACCACAGAGGCCAAAGAAAGTTGAAGTGAATGAATACCAATGCGCATGGCGAATGGCATTAGCTCTACCCTGTCATACACTTACTAGATACCCCCGAAATACCATGACGAATATCAGTAGTACCACCAGAACCTTGCTACTTTAGCATCGCTCAAACACACGATACAGGCCCTTCAAGTTTGCGACTTCAATGACCCCGCCCTTGAGCATCCCTCGTGTTCCTACTAGCCGTGCCTTGCACGCCGGGAAAATGGTGTACTCGATCGCTTGGAGTACGGTCTTGCGTCTCGCGGCAATCTCTTCGTCGTCGTCTTCCTGCGCCTTGGCTTTACCCTTTCCGTTCTTGTCACCATCTTCCTTGCCATCAGTTTCGGTCTCGGATGCGAACGGAAAGCTCTCCGGTGCATAAAACGATGCCAACTCCCTTAGGAGCGTCTGAAAGCACGCCTTTTCCTCCTCCCAATTGACATGAGGCCCCAGGCGAAGCAGAAACTGCGGAAGCTTGCCCATGCATGGTGTGTAATCCTTCAATAAAAGCGGTATGGAACAGAGCTCGCCCTGTGGAGTGATGTCAATGGCAAAGTACTCGCTCAGCAGCGCCGCCTTGTTAACAAGCTGCTCCCTGACCACATCGACAACTTGATTCCAGTCCACTTCGTCCACTGATTCGCCTGCGTTACTTTTTTCCTGTTGCACTGCTATCTTGAGCAGCTCTTCCAGAGATAAAGGTGGATCAAATCGTATGTATCCATAATTAGCAAAGTCCGTCAGACCGATTTGGTAGAAAAGCTCGTTGCACAGCATCCCATAATCGATGAGAAATAGCTTGACTCCACCCTGAATTGCTGCAATGCGTTTTTGCTCGTCGACAATGCCAACAAATGTGTGTGTTGAGATGATGTCGGTGAGCTCCGTGTGCATTGCGTCGCGTACTTCTGCGCGCAGTTCTTTGATGGATGTCAGGCGGCATGCTACTGGTTTTCTTTCTGTAAATTCGTATTCCATCTCGCTCTCTTCGTCTGAGGTATCATCTACTGGTCGTTTGGGCTGCAGCATTGATGTGATTTTGCGAATCGAAGTGTCTGTTCGGACTAGATTGTTCTCGTTTCGTTTTCTGGTAGATGTCTGTGGTGCCCTTGAGGCGCTACGATCTGATGCATCGCCCTTACTAGGAGTCATGGGTAAAGTCGGTTTCAGGGGTGTTGAGAGTGGGACCTTAGGGTTCGCCAGCAGTGACTGTGTTGCAAAGGATCGACTGGTGTCGACCTTGCTGAGACTGTCGCGAATCGAGTCACAGACCATATTAATAATTTCTTCTTCGTTCAAGAAGTGCACCTCTCGCTTTGTAGGATGTACGTTGACATCAACTCGTTGAGGCTCAATTTCGAGACTGAGGTAGAAGAATGGATGCCCTCCTTTGGGTAGGAACATTGCATATGTCTGCTCAACGCTTTTCTTGATCGCTTGAGATTCAACTGAACGGTGGTTGATGAAGAGCAACATCTGCGTCTTCTTCGCGCTGTAGTTTGCATTGCTGATCCAACCGTCGCACTTGAACCCCCAGCGATCACTTTCAACGTTCAAGGCTACTAGGTCGTTGGCGGCACTGACACCATGGATTTGCCGAATGCGATCTTTTACCGTCGCAGATGCAGGTACTGTCACACTGTTTCCAGAAGTTTCATTTGCCTTTTTGCATGAAAAGGCGACTCCTTGGCAATGCACAGCATAACGTCCGACAAGTTCGAGGATTTTGGCATACTCTTCGCTAGCTGAACGAAAGGCCCGACGCCGAGAGGGGACATTGTAGAACAAGTCTTCAACCTAGCACCACATGAGTTCCATTGCCCAAATCTGATTCTGTTTGGACATACTGTAATGGTGGTACCTTGTCGTCCTGCTTTGGGCTTTGGTTCTGCGCTCTGGCCCGGTTTTGGACTGATGAGCTTGCCGTCTGCGAAATGGGCTTCCCAAGCACAACTTGATTCTTTCGTCCTCGTAGTGACTTTGAGATGGGCAATGTGGCTGATACTCGCCAGCGCCTCGCCACGGAAGCCATACGTGCCGATTGAGGTTAGATCCTCAAAGGCCTTGAGCTTGGAAGTAGTAAAGCGCTCGCATAAGATTGGCAAATCTTCTTTCTGGGATAGTTAGAATACGATGCTGCTATTACAAGTCAAACATACGTCAATGCCATGTCCGTTGTCGGTAATCTGCAGAAGCTTGAGACCACCATCTTTCACTAAGATTTCCAGTGCGGTCGATCCCGCATCCACGGCATTTTCAATCAGTTCTTTCAACGCATGCATAGGCGCGACGATGATTTCCCCAGCAGCAATCTTATTGACGACATCCTGCGAAAGCGCCTTGATCCTGCGTGGCGCAGGAAGTGAAAGGCTATCGTCACCTTTGCGTTTAGTTCCACGTGGCGATGATTGTGAAGTATCCATTTCGTTGGCTATGTTTACGAGCCGACAGGCAGAGAGAGAAGTATCCTGTGGAGGTAATAATGATGGCACAAGTAAGATAGACTAGACGGAAGGCGCGATACGTGAAGCGCCCCACTTTCGCGCGCTCACGTGCCGGGCCTACGTACTACCCTCTCTTGACGCAACGCTTCTCGCCTTGTAACCATCTTCATGACCTGTATTCAGTCTTCGTTCACGCGAAGAGAATGTGAGCGCCAGTGAAAGAACAGCATGTCAAATCACGCTAATGTGGTTCTCTAATGATTAATCACCAACCCTCTGTCGCCACTGTGACATGCTCAAGCAGACACGCGCACTGCAAATCATTTGCGCAGAACATTATCATTTCTTTCGAAAACTACTAGCGACTTATATTTGAATTTATCATTCTAAGAGGGTTGTTCTGTGTTGAATATGGCACCTCCGTCATACGCCCGCGCCACGGCCTCGTCCACCTCAAAAGCTAGCCCAAAGTCATCAAGAATCACCCAAAACCCAGAGGTGGTAAAACCGACTCCATCACCCAACTCCAAGAAATTGACAGAGCCGCGTGTACAAAACAAACCTACGATACTATTGAGTCCAAAGACACCAACCAGCCTAAGCAAAGCCAACAACTCCACTCCGACATCCCAGGAAAAGAAGAAGGCTCTCAAACGCCCCTCAACGCTCACATCCCACCAAAAAGACACCATAACTTACAAACGCGACCTCTACCACATCACCCCAAAAGACGCCTCAAAGCCCTGTTTCCTATCCCTTCTCCCGTCGGAACTCCGCACCCAAATCTACACCTACATCCTCCCCACAACCCACTACATCTCGCCCTCATGGCCCTCCCTAAGCAAGCCCAAGCACCACGCACCCCCGTCCCTCCTCCACATCAGCCGCGCCATCCGCATTGAAGCAGCATACACCTACTACACAACCACCACCTTCCACTTCACCGTCCGCAACCTCGATTTTTCACCCGTAACACGCTGGCTCGAGGACCTAGCACCCCATCACCGCGCACTGCTCCCGCGGAACCACCGAGGCCTGAGCATCAACGTCATCCCGGCTATGAAAAACATGTTTACCTATCCGCCCAAGGGATGGCTACTAGATGCAAACGTGGAGCATCATTGGCGGGCGTGCCAGCCCTTTGGCAACATCTACACTGTGCATGGCGAGGCGCACAAGATGCATTTTGTGATTTTTTGTCGACTGGCCGAGTGGTGGCGGCGGTGGGGGGCGCTGCAGCTCAAGGGCGAGGTCAAGTGCAATTATGCGTTTGAGCAGAGTCCGTTTGCGAATCCGTTTGGTATCCCGGATTTTCTGGATGAGGTCGTGCTGAGGATGTTTTTGAGGCACCATGCGTGTGTGGTTGGTATGTCGTGTGTGGACAAGGCGTGGAGGAGGAATCGGAGGGCGGCGGGGATGAAGGATGAGGGGGTTAGGTTTTTGGAGGCGTTAGATACGTGGTATAGGGATAGGTGGGGTAAGCAGGGGGGAGTAAATGAGTGGAATGTGAAGATGGAAGAGGCGAAGAAGGCTATTGGAAGGTGGTAGTCATGAAATGCTCGTATATAGGCTTTTAACATATTCTCCTTGGGCACTAGGAATTCCATCCATTATCACTAGCTGGGACAGGTTAATGAATCAGCCTTATTTTAGTAAATGTAATCCTTCCCTCCTTTGTAATTCGAATAATCCAACAAACTAGCACGACCCCGTCCAAACGCCTACCAAACGCCGATAATCTGCCGTGGGGTATCGCATCCAGTTCTCTTTACAGCATACCGTCATCAGGATACACAAAATATCTACCGTTGACGAAGAAACGACGGCTCAAAGCCATAAATCGGGTTCCCAAGCTATCACCATCATCGTTAGCATTTCTTCTTTTTTTTCCTCGAAAACCCCTCTACATCAAACAAGAAGAAGAAGAAGAAGAAGAAGAAGAAAAAACTCACCCGTTGCAGCGCAAACACAACATCAGTAACAGAAACCGTCTTCCTGCCACTGCTATCAATAATAGCGCAAATATCTTTGAGAACCTAAAACAGTGGTATCATTAGCCCCCCCCCCCCAAAAAAAAACGACAGACGCATAGAAAAGGAGCGTGTCGTAATAGCAAAGGACAAACATACCCGTGCCAACCGGTCGCGCAGCGCCTGGCGAATATCAGAGTATACTAGAGCAGATATGCGCTTAACGCCACCACGGCGCGCTAGTCGTCTATCGTAGATATATCGTCAGTAAACCCCTCTCTCTATTTCCTCGCAAAAGACAAAACAAAACAAAAGGACTATTATATACCTGATATCGCCATTGGTAATGCCATGAATGCTATCTCTCTGAATCTTCCTATGCAGTCCCATTGTGTTAGTTCTCGCACACATGGATATATATATATACATATACACGCATTTTACTTGGTAAGAAGGCTGGCATTTGACCTACATGTGTCGTTTCATGTGGGATTTGGGGCGCCCAAGAAGGCTTTTTCCAAGGCCGCCAGCGCCTCGACCGAGGCCTATGCCGAGCTGTGTCGCTCTTGATGGTGCAGACGACGCAGGTGGCTGAGGTCGAGGAGTTGAGGATGCGCCGGTGTAGCGCGGTATCGCGCTATACTGGTTGGGCCTTTGAGTCGACATGGTTTTGGGTAGGGGAAAGATGGTAGGTGAGGTGTAGAGAAATGGAGAACGTAGCGTGTGGTGGGTAGTGAAAGGGCTACACGCGTCCAACGCGTTTGGTTGGGGACGCGCTATCAGGTGAGACAAGTGAAGGGGGGAGGAAGTGAGATGGAAGCAGAGTGTGGGGTATCGATAGCGAGGCTGCACATGCTGCAGATACGGGAAATGCAGGGCAAGCCGTGCGGTACCACAACCAAGCTCGCCAAGGCTGGGGGATGGCCAGATGCCAAACCTCACATGCATGATAGATAAAAAGCAAAAAGCACATGATGCAAACACGACATGTTGAGCGTGACAAACGTTATTCATTAAACAACCAGGTCCCAGTCCTGATGTATTACTAATACTTGGGTATCAAGGATAGCTGAGGGTCGTCATATCCAAAACCGGGAGAGCCCAGCTACGAGATGAAGGTAGCCTCAGTGAAAAGTGTGCCCTCCTCCTCCTTGATCTCATCGCCAACCTTGACTTTGATGGTCATCTTGGGCGCATATTGGTAGATGTATGGCTTGGTGCCTGCTGCACTGGCAACAATCGTCTTGATAAAGCCCGGGACCTCGGCCATGACGTCAACGCGGTCAATTATCTCACCCAGAGAGCCTGCGATGTCTGCGGTGACATCCTTTCCATCCTCCGTCTTTCCAACCCAGTGGTAGCTTGCTGCAGTAGGCGCTGGCCAGCCAGTCTCGTCTTGCTTGGTCTCGGTGTGCTTGACATCGCCGTCGGTGTTTGCAAAGAGGAGCTTGCCGTCGGTGGCAATACCGGCGACTCGGACGATTGTTGAGGCGTACGAGGCGGGGGTTGTGAATTCCATGAGAATAGCAGAGTATGAGGGGGACTGGAAGTTGACAAAGTTCCACCGGGCAGCTAGATGTGTTTAGTCGGGAGGCATGTATAAACGGTGCACGATGCTTACCGGCGTGGTGGGGCTTCATTCCCTGGAGAGCATGGCTCAGCATGCCACGGCCCTTGACGTCGACCGGGCCCTCTTTGGTGTGAATGGCGCCCTCGACGCTGCATCGAGGCCAGAAGTGGTGGTGCATCGACCCCCATGGTTCCTTGGGGTTGGTACCGTAATTGGTGGTGCCATCCTTTCCGCCCATAAATCCAGGCGCGGTCCTGGTGAACTTTACATCTACCATGCAGTCCTCTCGGACGGCCGCCTTGATGGTGTACTGGGTGCCATCCTCGGAGAGCTCAATGGAGACGCCATCGGCGAAGAAAGAGTGCTGCTTCTCGTCGAAACCGTAGTTGTAGACGGGGTCGCTCGCCCAGAGGAAGGGCTTCTCGTTGTTGGGGAAGAAGAGCTTGCAGTTGAACTGGACGGTTACACGGAGGCCACTATGCAGCGTAAGCACAGAAGCGAGGCGGGTGTACAGAGGGGGCCAACGCACGCAATGTTGTTGTAGATGACCTGCAGGAAGCCCTGGTGGCCGGCGTCGCTGAAGATGTAGAAGGTCTGTGTCTCGACATTGGTGTAGTCGAGCGTGGACCACTTGAGGTGGTCCTTTGTCAGCTCCGTGTAGGCAGGCTCGTCGCCCTTCTTGCCCACGGGCTGGATGGCCTCAGGACCGTATTCGGGCTCCTGGGTGCCGGCAACTGCGGCTAGCCTGCATCTGTTAGTCGGCGTACTCGAGTGCAGTGCAGCACCCAGGGCCCAGGCATCCCTCGTCACTCACGTTGACTTTGCCCAACTGAACATTTTGGGGCACGGCGATGCAGTGCACTATTATGCAACGGGGCGTGCGAGGCTCCGTCTTGATTGGACGGCGACAGGGGAGAAAATCTCTGTAAAGACTTGTTCGACAGGGCCGGGAGCTAAGATGTCGAGGGGAACAAGAGCACGGCAGGGCGGGCAAGGGCGAGACGGACGGGGTGGAGCAGGCTGATGTGTCGTGGGGGCGGGAGGGCGCAGAGGGTTGAGTGTATGTGTGCGGTGGGCAAGGACTTAGCTGTGCCTGCACAAGAGTGGCCAACGATGGACTGGAGCCAGCAGAGGCAGAGGCGGTGGATGGCAAATGCAAAGGGTCGCGTCGAGGCTTGGCCGCAGCCTCCCGATGTTCCTTCGCAGACGGATGGGGCAAGCCGCGCCAGGTGCTGTCCACCACCCCTCTGACGATCATTTCTCGCCGCTTTTCTGCCGCCCGGCCTCTGCCCGTGCCTTGGGTACTTACATAGACTCGCTGGTACCGCCGCCAGCAGCACCAGCAGCACCAGCAGCACCCGCACCATCACCACAACAACCACAACAACCACAACCACGGCCCCGGCCCCGGCCTCGCGCGCATCTGCCTGTGCTGACTCCGGCCTTCCCGCACCATTGCGGACGAATTGGCGCTGCCCACTCGACGCCTAGCGCGGGGCTCCATCTGCATCCACTGATCCTGGCTGCCCATGACGAACCTCGATGCTCTGTAGCCAGGCACACGACCAGCCCGCCCGTTGCTCCTCCGCCGCTTCTCTTGTCCGGCCCATTCGACGGACCTTTGTCGCAACCGACGAGCGAGCTTCCATCGCACAGTCGCCCTCTGAGCCCCAAGTAAGCGCAAGCCTCTCCGTCCTGTGCGTTCGCGCCTTCCGTCATGGCCTAGACTGACCTAGCCGCTCTTTTTGACAGAACTCTCTTCTGTCCCTCGCCGCCCATCATGACGTCTACTCCCCCCGCCCAGTCTGTCCGCTTCAGCGAGGTTCACGAGGAAATCGAGCCTGCCCAGGCCGTGCGAGATGTTGCCGACCTCACTAGCAGCCCCGCCGAAGCGCCCCAGCATGGCCCACTGAGCCCCCAGGCCGAAGCAGAGCTACGCAGCCTGTCGTCGACCCTCCAGAAGTCCCGCATGCAGGCAAAACGCATGGAGAACTTCTCGTTCGAGCCCGTCTCGCTTCCACCCTCCCGCGTAAGCAAACTCTGGATCATGACATGCCGCAATTAGCGCCCGTCCAGCTAACACTCCACAGGCACCTTCACCCAGCCCAGCCTCGCGAACAATTTCAGGACACTCCGCACATCGCTCTTCCATACCCTCTTCGCCTGCCTCCGCCATGCATTCTCCACCATTGACGCCTGCAGGAACATCGTCCCGGGATGAAAAAGCAGGCGGCCAAGTACACAGCAAACATCCAAGCGACCCCGCCCTCATGACGCCGCAAATCTCACCTCCCCATGAGCCTCCGCCAACCTCCATGGATTCGTCTCTTCAGAGCCACAATGAAAGCCAGTCTTCGTTGCCAGTTCCGGGATCGCCAAGAACCGCACCGCAGTCCCCTCGACCATCCTCGGAGTTGCCCGCCGTAGTTCAGCCCCATCCAAAACGCAATCCAGCATTTGCCATAGGTCCTACTGGTGATTCCAACCCAGCTTCCCGGGACGCCAGTCCTGCCGGCTCTGGTGGTGATCGCACGCCAGGCGCATCCTCCCCGGCACCTGGTAGCCGCCCATATACACCACAAGGAGAGAAGGAAGACACCTACACTCGCTCCAAACGTGCGGCACAGGCGAGAAACCTCGACTCACTAGAAGCCCGCTACATCTACGGTGGTCGTGATGGACGCAGTTCGGCAGCATCATCAGTATATCAGTTACCACGCTCCAAGGGCACTGATTCGGACAAGGAGGACAACAAGCGGTCGAGCATATTCGGAAAGAGGTCCATCAAGGGCCATGGCTCTGATGCTGAAGATGTCAAGTCGCCGACCGGTAAACACCATGGATCAATGGCTGAACTCAAGCGCTTCTTCAAGATTGGACACAAGAACAAGGACAAGGACAAGGACAAGGAAAAGCGCGGAAAGTCTCCTGCACCATCCATTCGGAGTCAGAAGATCAAGTCAACCAAATCCGGTACCATGACACCGCCCGTAACGAACGGTTCGATACATGTCCCCTTTGCGGATGACCATGGCCTGCAAAGCAAGTACGGAAAGTTTGGCAAAGTGCTGGGATCCGGTGCTGGTGGCTCGGTTCGGCTTATGAAGCGAAGTAGCGATGGCACAACGTTCGCCGTCAAGCAGTTCCGTAACCGCCATTCGTACGAATCCGAAAAAGATTACAACAAAAAGGTTACTGCCGAGTTCTGCATAGGATCAACACTCCATCATGGGAACATTATCGAGACCATGGACTTGGTGAATGAAAAAGGAAGCTACTTCGTCGTCATGGAATACGCACCCTTTGATCTGTTCGCAATAGTAATGACGGGAAAGATGAGTCGCGAGGAGGTTGCCTGTGCCACACTGCAGATTCTCAATGGAGTCACCTATCTGCATAGCATGGGCTTGGCTCACCGTGATTTGAAGCTTGACAATGTCGTTGTCAACGAACACGGAATCATGAAGATTATTGATTTTGGTAGTGCCGCCGTCTTCAAATATCCATTTGAAGACGAAATCGTCCTCGCCAGTGGTATGTAGCACGAGACATTATACCAGCAGCATTTCTAACTTGTTTTCAGGTATTGTCGGCTCGGATCCTTACCTTGCACCTGAAGTGTATGATCTGTCCAAGTACGACCCACAACCTACCGATATCTGGTCACTTGCTATCATGTTCTGTTGCATGACATTACGCCGGTTCCCATGGAAAGCGCCACGGATATCCGATAACTCATACAAACTCTTTGTCTCACCTCCCAACGACGGGCCAAGGTCGATCACCGGGCCCTCCAAGTCGGCTACGGATCTTGAGAGTACGGCACGTGACGAACGCCGGCAATCTGGGCTTGGCTCTGAGTCTACAACCCGGCATCAATCCTCTGAACACCCTTCGACTGAGCCGCGCGCATCTACGTCATCAAATGGCCAGCAGCCGCCGCAGGTGATCAAAGGTCCTTGGCGCCTCCTGCGTTTGTTACCTAGGGAGAGCAGACACATTATAGGCCGCATGCTGGAAGTCGACCCCAAGAAACGCGCAACGCTGGATGAGATACTCGAAGACAAGTGGGTCATCAACAGCGAGGTGTGCTCGCAAGAAGAGGGCGGTAGGATAATACGAGCCGGAAACCATGAGCATACGCTTGAGCCTGGAGCTGGAGGCTCGTCTGCTCCTAATACACAACAGAAGAAGTAAAAGAAGGACAGAGGCGATAGCTTATGGAGAGGGGGACTGGTAGATAGGCGGCCGGGACGGTTAATATTGGGGTATTTTTTTGGATGATTAGACAGGTGGGTGTTTGACCAAAGGTGGTTGTTGCTGTTGTTTGCATGATGCCAGATATTCCCATGTCCGAACTAGAGAGGAGATTCCTTGTCCTGTTTTTCTTCGACTGCGTGTACGCGCGCGGGGTATTTCCTTTTTCTTTTTCTTGGCAAATTTTTAGAGGTTACGATCACAAAGAGAGCGATATATAAATATATATTTGATACAAATGGAGAGGAGATGGGGGGATGGGGGATGGGGGTGTAGGGTTTGAAAGAGAAAGCAAGAGATTCGTAGGGAAGAAGGGGGTATAGCATAATAAAAAAGCATTGCGATGACCAAGGTTGCCCTTATGCATGATGATAGTAGTGGCAGGTAAACTAACAAGCTAGTTTATCCGCATGACATGTATGGNGGGGGGGGGGGGTAAGGGGGTGTTATGTGCACGTGAGCCACCCCGTTGTCCGTCTATGCAAAACCCGTGGGGCGCGGCAGAAAGGAGGCGGCAAAGGGTGGGGGAAAGGAGTGTGTGTGTGGTGGTGGATTAATGTGGCCATCTCACGCAAGACTATACGGCGATGTCAAGCAAAACAAGAGAAGACTCCGTGTCACGATCGGGAGGAAAATCAACATTGAAAGCATCTTCCGCAGAGGGAGAAAACGCGCAATCTACGTGACCAAAATGTCCATGTACCATGTACGATTGTTTACACCCTTGGTAGTTCGCTGGCTTGATTTGCCCGTCCCATGTTCCCTGACCCCTCCCCTCCCCTCCCCAGACAGACACGAGCGCGCCAAGGCCAAGCCGAAAGGAGTGAGGAGGAGACAAAAGGGTAAGAAGGAGAGAAGGGGGGGGGAGAGAGAGGCCTAACCCGTGTAGCGCAAGCGAGAGGGAAGCGCTGAAACACGAAACATTTTCGATCACGCTTTTTAGGGTCTTCGCCAAGGCATCTGGTTTCGTAACCCGCGCCTGTACCGTACCCCATCCTGTCACATTACCCCTAGGAGTAACTCTCCCCACACACATACGCACGCGCGCACGCACGCACGCACGATGGGCAAAAGCAACGTCAAAGAAAAGATCAAACAAAAACGAAGCAAAGCAAAAAAAAAAAGGTTGCCAGAACTAACAAGGTCCAAGGGTCCTTGTTGTGCGCGCGCCTGGCATTTTTGCTGACTCTGGGGTGGGTGTGATTGATTGTCTGTGCGCGCGCCTTTGTATCCTGCAGGCGTCCGTCCCCCCAACGCGCGGATTTTTTAGATTTGGTAAGTGTCAGATCGATGCTTGAAGCGGGCTGGAGCGGTGCGGGTGTTAAAAATGATGAAGCATATCCGATTGGGTTCGAAACAAGCTTGTTTGAGAAGGAGAGGGTTTAGATGAGCAAGTTTAGCTGGAATGGAATAACTAGTAAAGTACGTGTGGGTAATGTATGTAGTATGTGAGGGGCACACACAGCATTGGCATGCCCATGGGATTCCAGGCCTAGCGGTCAGAGAGGGCATTGGGCCTTGGTTTGCGCACACTTCTGCACTTGTTGTCTCTCCCACCGCGTGCAAGGATGTGGGTGGTGTCTGTTTCGCCGTCCACGGTGGATCTTTTTACGAAGCTTGATGGTAGTGTGGGGATGCGACACACGTCAGATGGGCGATTGTATGCCCTGTGGTTGGTGCTGAGGCTAAACGGTAGGCCAGGGTCCATTGGTTACTCGCTAAAGTATGACCATGACTGACAGTGACTATCCAATGCGTGATGCCGTGTGTGGAGAATAAAGAGGCAAAGAGATGCGGATGCAGAAAGTGGCCGGACTATTGCGCGAATGTCTTGCAGTAGCGGGGCCGAGGGAGGGCTCGTGATGAGGCAGAGACCGTGTTTGTAGTCTTTTTTTATTGTGTTTATTCTTGCTTTTCATGCTATTTGCATCTTGTTTACCGCCATTTGCGCCTGCGACTACGGATGTGGTCGGGTACTGCAAGCTGCGCTAGCAGGCATTTTCTAGGTATGTGTGTACTATGTACACAGTAAGAAAGTTCCCAGAAAAATGGCAGTTCGGCCGGGCGCCCGTTCGTGTTCACGGCGGTAATACCGTACATTATAGTCAAAGGACCATTAGGCGTTCAGCAGCTGGAACACGCAATGGTGGTGGGTCTCGGCGTGTAATCAACTTCGAGGGCAGCGCAATGGAGGGGTTAGCAGGCCATGACAGAGGGTGGCACCGCGGCAAAACCAAGGGCTGCGCAAGCAACAGGGTAGTCCGTTTCATGTTCGTTTGCCCAGGCTACGTTTGGGGGGACTCCGTCGCGAAGGATGGGTTTGAGATTAATGCAGAGTGGTCTGTACCGCGGCTGGATGGGGAATGGTTGGCGGGGGGAGCAACAGCGGCGAGGCGTCGCAGGTTAAGTCTCGCTTGCGCTTACCCTTTTTCTGCTCGTCGTGAACTATCACGACGATAGTCATGATGATGATGAGTGGATGGATTATGGTCCAAGGAGATAGTCTGATGACGGAATTTTGCAGCAGATTGACAGGCGGTCATCATGACAGATGGCGTCCCCCATACGGGCCGTTGATGCACAGTCAAACACCGCAGATCGAGAGAGCCAAGGCATGTACAAGTGCCGGATGCAGCGACGGTGGTATCTTGGACATGCACTAGGCAGTTTTCCGCTCTCTGTTGCCTGGCAGCCTGTATAGCGGTAGTAGTAAGAAGTAAGAGAGGCCATAAGCAACCAAGGCAGAGTGGTACCGAGGCGTGGCCGTTGGCGGAGTAGTGTAAGTACGTCGGTAGGTAGTCGAGCGAGCGGTTGGACGGACTGCACCTCCATCAAAAACCAACAAAGCAAGACGCCGCCGCGCCGCGCAGCCAACCCGCGTCCCCAACACGATGAAGATGGAGTGGTGAGTGGTGGATGGTTATCTCTGTGTCTGCGGCAGCTCCAATCAGAGAGGCAACGGGCGTGTGTGTGCAGCAGCTGAAGCATAGCAGACCAGGGCCGGGGTTTGAGCAGCGTGGGGCCTGTTGCGATCAGCGGCCAGGCTCCTTCCCTCGGCGGCATCACAGGGCCCGTGCGCCCGATGCCTATCGTCCACCCATTTTTCCCTGCCCGTCCGCGCCAGCTTAAGCGCAAAACGCCCTTCTTCATTCTCGTCGTCTTGGCTTCCACCCCCCCATACTTTAACACTCAAGTTCCCACTCTGTGTTTGGGCTTTTTTCTTCTTCCCTGACCTGCCCGTCTGCCCGACTAAACAAGTCTAGACCTTTTTTTCCCTCGTCGCTAGTTTTCTGACCCTCGACTTAATCGTGCGCGGCACACATCCACCCCACGTGCCCTACTTCCTATTCCTGGCTGGTCCCTTTACTTTGCTCCCATTCCCCTCTCAGCATAACGCCCTCGCCGACTGTTCCTACATGTCATCTGGCCTAATTGTCTAGAAGAGAAAAAAACTCTATTTCCCGTGTTTATATAAAGACATAGAGATGCGCCGCCAACTCCCTCCCACCCATCTCAAGGTTCCGCCAGGTCCCCATGCGTTTCCACGGCAACAATTTCTTGGACAAGAGACTGTTGTTGTAAACCACTACGCGGGAATCGAAAAGGCAATTCCGGCCATACCGTCGCTACCAGGATTCAGAACAAGTGCTGGTAGGTTGGAATTCTCAATTCTGCATTTGGCGTGATGGAGGAAAATGGCGGTTGAAGTTTCCATGTACTAACACCCAACAACAGCTTTCCTCACTTCATTGAGCGCCAATCTCAGAATCGACCCAGATCTCCCTTCACCACTACCCACGCCAACAAATTTCCGTCTAAACACCTTCATTCAACCAGTCCCGCCAACCTCACTATCCTACTCAACATCCACTGCCCCGTACAACCCCTACGTATCCACGACTGAATCACACGTCATGTCGTCGACCGAAGCAAGTGCACCAGAAAAGGCACCTGCCGACGAACTACCCCAGCTATCCACCTACACGGCTGAGACCGAAGATGACCGTATCGAGGGCCTGCGCCTAGTTGCCGACTCGGTTGCACAGCAGCGCCAGGTCGCCAGCAAGATGATGATGTTCCACCCTATTTCGCTAGCCGCCTACTTTGTCGCCGTGGCTATTGCAGCCCGGTACATGCTCCGGTGGTACGAGGACAAGTTGATGCTGGTCACGACCATTGGCGGCATCAGTATGACTTTCCTAATCTTCATTCGCTGGATGACTGGTGGCTACATCAGCCTGGCGGAGGACATCGACATGGACTGGCTCGGTGACGACAGGATGATTGTGGTCAAGTGGGGTGAGGATGTCATTGGTTCTCTGGTTTTGGGCTGGGCAGATAACGATGCTGCAAAGAAGCGTGGCAGGAGAAGGAGGGGCAAGGCCGTTGTACGCGCTTGGACCGTCAAGCTCAAGTACCGTGGCAAAGGCGTTGGCGAGGGTCTTTTGGAAGAAGCAGTCAGGGTTGCGGGCGAGAGGGGCGCAGATGGCATTCTCTTCGATCCTGACCATGCCAGTAAGTTTTATTGTTACGATACGCTCCTCTCAACCAGGTTGCTAACGATGACCACCAGACTCTAAGCGCATCCTGCCTCCCGTCTTCAATGGATTCCTCAACAAGCAAGAGGCCAAGGCCGAAAAGGCCCTGCAAAAAGTCGCAGACGCAAAGGGCAACTTTCGCCAGCGTCAAAGCTCCCCTACCTGGGGAAGCAGATAGAGGACACTGTTTTCTATTTCGTTTTTCTTTACCGCAATACCTCTCGTAAGAGCAGAACAGCAGGAGTTTTTCGGGCTTTGATTGTTTGTTGCTGCAGCAAGTCTGCTGTCTTGGAAGATACCCCACACACACATTTCTCTCGTTGGTTGATGATACCCTCCATACAATCGCTGTTCTCGGCAACCTACTGTGACATTTAGTTTAGAAACTATTTGCGCTCCTAATCAAGAAACGTTATCAAGCATCTGTCCATGTTTTTTTTACCCTTGGCTCACAACTATACAACTGGTAGTATAGATGTGGTGACAACACTATGTTTTATCTAGTCGACTCGTTCGATGATGGCGTCCTATGATTAGTTGCATGAAAGACGGCCATCTCCGTTGACCTGGTGACTTGTTGGTGTACTGTATATGTGCGCCACCTTGAGTCAGGATAACATCGGGCATTGATCCGTACAATCTACTCCCCACGCCAGCCACACCCACCAACAAACATGCACACATGCCCTTGAAGACCTCGTGATTGCTATCCGGTGAATTCCTATCTCAACATGCTGCCTCTACTCTCTCTCTCTCTCTCTCTCTCTCTCTCTCTCTCTCTCTCTCTCTCAAGCCCTGTAAGACGCAAACCACCCTGCAATGCGTACTGATAACGGTGCATAAGCCTTTGATACCAACTACCGCCCGAACGGTTACCTACTCTCTCTGGTTCGTTCGTTGGCACCCGCCTCTTGGTTTTACCCCGCGGTTACGTCGCTACCACTTTACTTACACTACCCCTCCATCCTCGGGCGCCCCGCCCGACCCCCCCCCCCCAAGATTTTAGCCTTTCCCGGTTTCCTTGTCTTTTATTTTGTCTAGGCATGCAAGCCAAGTCAGCCCACAGATTTACGGGAACAAAGATATCGGGCTTTTTTTTTGATGTTGGGTAAATGTAAAAAAGTAGGCGTTCTAGATGCGGAAGACCTTCCCCCCCTCCCCCTCCCCCCCAACTGATAACGTTTTTTTGTTGTTTGGTGTGAGATGATCAACCCCCCGCCAGCCACCCCGTCCTTTCGCACCCGTCCCTTCCTTTCTCACCTTTTTTCCCTCGCCGCGTCAGCTTTTGCTCTTTGGCAAAACCCAGTCTCGCAATGACGCGGCTACCACGCAATAGCCTTTTGTGAAGGCAGCTTTGTTACAAGGGGAAAAAAGCACGGTTGTAGTTTCATATGTACAAATAAAAATAAACTCCCGGACGCCTATTTGGGGGGTTGGGGTCGTGTAGTATTCGGGCTTCCCAATTCAGCGCGCGGCGGCACCCGCTTCTGTGTCTCCATCTACGGAACTCGTGGGATACTCTTCGCGTAACTGTAGTATCACTTTCTGTCGGGCCCGCGAGTTAGCCAAAAAAAAAAAAAACTCCAATCCCTTTCTCTTCTCTTTCTCTTATTTTTTTTAGAGGAGTTACCGACAGTAGATGCCGTGTAACGGAGACTATAATAGAAAATAACCCAATAGCGGGCAATGCGGAGCCATGCGTGAGAATTGTTGCTGTGACACAGTGGGATACAAAAAGTCACGAGGGGGGGTGCTTTCTTTGCTAACGTACCGCCAAGGCCTCTGGGTTCGCGCCATTTTCAATCAATGATACGCAATATGATAGTTGTTGCCGATCGAGATGGGTGTTCTAGAGCCGAGAGTTTTAGTTGTTGGGCGGGAGAGGGGCCTCTAGATTGGGGAAGGGGGGAGAGGAGGGTGCGCATGTGACTGCTGCATACCAGCAATGTTGCAATTTCATGGAGAATGTCGATAACTTCTCGAGCAGCCTTTCTACGGGCGTCTGCTGAGGTTTGTTCGGCGGCTGGCATTTTTTGGGAGTTTTCCACTTTTTTCTCTCTTAATCTTTTGGGTGATAGAAAAATAAAATGGCTGTGGTCGTTTAGGTAGCGGTTGTCTGTTTGTTGACAGCCCGTCTCGGGGGCGCGAGAACCGTACAGAACGCGGCGCGCGCCTTTGGCACGTGACCTTCCTTGGCGGGTGTCACTTTTCCGTCGTGTTTCCCTAGCAAAGAAACTGAAATTATGCTCACAGTGTCTGGTAGGGCCAGGACAATTTTGATTTTCAACTGCGCCTTCTTCTGCTTCATGGTTCTCCAGTATTACCTGTTCTAGCTTTTTTTAGGTGGGTGATCGGAAATCAGTCTTGGATGACATCGACATGTCCAGCTCATGGCATCATCATCATAACGGTGAAACATGGCCTACCAGCACATAAAAAGCTAACATCAAATAAATACCAGATACCCATGTGCCTTTTGTAGATTTACACTATGTCTGTAATCGTATTTTGCCTAACCAAAAACAATACAGTAGCAAACGTCCTCTATATCAGTTAAACCGTGTCCCTAGCGTCAGTAAAATCGTTTTAAGTCTATAATCGAGATAAATATATTTAGAGATACAGATGAAGGCTATATCTACCTTGTTTCTTCTTATTCTAGAGGTTCATGAGTCTAAATAGCGCTAACTAGCTAGGTAAAATAGCGATTGCATACGTATTCGAGTAATTCTAGCCAACACACTACTCTATATTACTTGTCTGCACTACCCAGACCCTAATTCTCCACGAAAAAGCCTCTTGATTAGTCTACTCAGACCTACATCCCTTCTTCCACTCTTCCTTCCCCAACGTGGTTGGAACCTTCACTGCGCCACCCCTCCCTACTACCCCAAGAAACACTGGAATAGTGGCGTCGTTCCCACTAACTGATTGATCAATCAATCAATTTGTTCGTTTAACATGTACGCAAGTCTCCCATAGAGCGTGTAAACAAGCAAAGCCTACGGCTTACAGTTACCTAGGCTGCCTATTCAAGAAGAGATTACCTCTCAGTCAAGGGCCGTGTAGATACATATTCTACCAAGTCACGAAGCCTTACTACTCTGTTACATGCCTATTTAAATACTAGCTACGTCTCTTTTTTGATGCCTCTATTCCTTTTTCTCTGTATAGACATAAGCTTCTCTGTTGATTTTTCAATTAAATGTGTGAAAACCTTGGAAAATTGAGGAGAGAGTTAGGAAAGCTGCCTTTCTTCTTGCATAAGAGAAGGCGAAAAGAGAGAGATTCTAGTGGGGCTGCTCATAACAATTTGCTACAACACCTATGTATTTCAAGCCGACTGTTGATAGGCGTCGGGCTTTCAACCTGCCAGATGTGCACTGCCTACTGCACCAATCCACCGTCATTCCCGCCGAGATACCAGGGTAAGAAAGAAATCGATATAGAACTTGTTGTGTAAAACCAGCGGTGCAAAAGATGTAATGTGTTGGAGTGGTTTGAGCTAGATGAAAGGGGTAGATGTAGAGCGTATGGCGTAGAGGTTAAGAAAGTAGGCAGAGGCTTAGCATGAAATCTCGAATGATGTACGAACACACTATTCTTTTCTGCAGATAGACTCCTATTTGACACCTTAACTCTTTAGCTACGTAAACACATCTTCCTTCGTCCTACCGCTACTATGCATGCTCATGCACTACCAGTGGACCGACTACCACCGAACCAATACTGCAGGAGAGGAAAGGATAGGGTAAAGATACGAAGCTGCAATTGGAGAAGTTTTTGGGGGGGTTGAATTTACTTGTCTGTATCTGTTTGGCGTATGGAGTCTTGGATTGTTTTTTTTTCTCAGAAAAGAAAAGCAGGCCACACCTCAACCTATTGGAATCGGGTATCAAAAAATGACATCGTATTCAGGGTAAAGATTCGAGCAAGAAGTCTGTACTAAGAACCTTGGGATGTTGGCTCTGAGATCTATAAGGTGTATAAGGTGGGTAAGTCTGTCAAGGGGAATCGGTATGGTATATTCTAGACAGTGTTATGGGAAGACTTTTTTACTTCATGGGTATATCGTAACGGGTATAATCAGATCATCCATCATCCACCGTCTTTTGTTTATATACACAGGATGTGGACAAACACTTCAAATCACTAAATCACCATCTCGCCCTGTTCCTCATCCCCAACACCAATCTCATCACTCGAATCCCCTTCCTCGTCTAAATCTTCAAGAGGATACGTTAATATAGCAGCAACATTGCCCAACCCCTCCAACCTCTTGCCACTCTCGTGCAATGAGCTAAGAACCCTCACCTCACCCCCTTCCACGTCTCGTACTTGATCAACAAGCTTCACCCATCTCCTTCGCTCTTTGACGTTTTGTGCACGGAAAAGCACATTGTTAATTAGAAGCACACCACCACCTCTCCCAACGGCTCCCTTGGCTACTGCTCGTTCCACCTCGCGGGGCCCGTACCATGCCCGGCCATCATCGAGGCGCATGAGTGTGTTGAATTTGTCCATGAGGGCTGTCTCACGGGCGAATTTGGTGTCGGAAAGTTTTGCGGTGATGGCTGGGGAGGAGAGGACTTCGTTTAAGGAGTGTATGTGTGCCGACGAAGAATGCGCAACAATGATGGAAGGTATTAAACCCATCAGCGGCTTGTTTGTTGTTCTTGTTGCTTCTTCTTTGATGTATTGGAGAAATGCTGTGGCTACGAAACCGGGGCTGGCGAGGAGCAATGGAAGTGTTTTGCCTTGTGCTGAATTTGAAGCGTTTGGGAGGTCGATTTGGCGAAGGAGCGTAGAGAGGGTTGTGGAGAAGAAGCGCTCCATGCCTTTACTGTGGCCGTCGACACCGCCTCTGCGTTTTCTGGGCACGGGGACTTCGACTTTCTGGCGCAGGATAGTCTGGTGCTCTGTAATCATGCATATGTTTGCGACGCCTTCGCCCAGCACGACTGCCCACAGCTCCGCGCGCTTCGAGGCGTCGCATGCCTCTTTGAGCTGCTCAAGAGCGATGCTGTCCCAGCCGTCTGCCTTTTCTATTGTGAACTTGCGGTTGAGCTCCAGATCCAGAGTATGGTGCTGCCCCAGCTTGACGTGCTCATTTTCCTTTGCGACGCGGCCAGACACATGCAGCTGTTCGGAGCCAATATCAAAATCGGTCGAGGTAACGGTGATGGTGAGGTCGAGGGTAATGCGCTGCGACGAGGTGGAGCCGGCATCGGATGTCTTTGAGACGCGACGCACTGCTTTCGCGCGGATCTGGTCGTGCTCCTGGATGAGGTTGTAGGCATGCCACATATCCTCAGGTTCCTCCGGCAGCAGTGTGGCGAAGCCGGCGCCCGTCTTGTGTTCAATCTGGCTCTTGAGCAGCTTCATGGCGGAGCAGTATACCAGGCGGTTCTGGTGTGTTGCTGCAGTGATGTATGGCAGCGCACATACATGAAGTATGGCGGAGTTAACTTTTGCCTGGTAATGACGCAACCATGGATGGAGGGGCGCTCGTAGCCCCCACGCTCAGGGTCAGACGTGGGGGGGGGGCTTCAGACCAACCCTCATAAAGCATTGTACCTCATATCCCGCATAAGTCCGTCTTTGGTCCCCTCACGCTTACATACATATGTATGCACATGTAAGTATAGTCAGGACGCTAACCACAATATTTTCGCACCAACGGGTATATACGCCCCGCGCCCGATACGGGTACTTTATCTAGACAACCACTCACTACCCCGGACGCGTATAGCGGGACGTACCAATACTACCGAAAGCGAGAATCGCATGGTTTCGCTTACGACCTCTTCACAAATAGTGTGACATGCTTATAGATCAAGTAACTTGACAGCATGACTTGTATCACACCACCATCATGTTAACAAATTAAAATATGCTGCATGGGTGCAATTACAAAAACCTATGTACAAGAATTCTGCAAACTCAAATCAACTCTACCTACTTTCCTTCCTCTACCTCGCCTTGATGATATCCGCAGCCTTCTCACCAATACCATATACGGTGGCCTGGAGATGGCAAGATGGGATGAGAGGAATGATTGAAGCATCAACAACAGACAAGTGCTGGGTTCCATACACGAGCAGCTTGTCGCTGACACAGCCACCATCCTTCTCAGCCATCATGGAGCAAGTACCCGCAGGGTGAACAAGGGAAGGTTGAAGCATCGATTGCTTAAGGAGGGCGTCGAAAATCTCCTCGTCCGTTTGGAATTGCACACCAGGAACAGTCTCCTTGATCTTGTAGCTTTTGAGCTCAGGGCGCGCCCACACGCCACGGAAGAAGCGCAGACCGATCGACATGACCAGACGGTCCACAGGATTCACAAACGCATTGAACGCAACGTCGGGAGCGCCGTTGGGGTTCTTGGCGTTGATGGTGATGCTACCACGCGAGAGGGGCTTCTCAACACCGATGAGGGTGAAGCTGCCATCGGCAGCCAGCGTCATCTCGGTAGCGGCTGCATCCTTGCGTGCAAGCAAGTTGGCAAGAATCTTGCGCTGCTTTGCATATCCCGCCGCGAGCTTGGAGTTCTTCTTGTAGATGCTGGGAAGGAAGTCGGTAGCCTTCTGACCGTTCACCATGTCGATGAGTGCCTGGGTGTTGTTGGTAGTATCGGAAAAGGGGATCAAGGCAAGTGCGTTGCCACGAGCATACGTGTAGGGGCCCGTCTTGTACTGCTCGTACTCCTTCCAGGCAGAAGCGTTGAAAGTAGCATTGGTGTTCAGCGATTGAAGGTTAGGGAAGAAGTTGGATGTAGTGTTGAAGATGGCTGTGGCGTATGGGTGGTCCTGGAAGTTGGCACCTACGGAATCGAGCTCAACCCTGGTCTTGATGCCCGCAGCTTGCAGCACGTCCCTGGGACCAACACCACTAAGCTGGAGAAGCTTTGGAGTTTGGATAGCACCAGCAGCAAGGATGACCTCCTTTTTGGCGTAGAAGCAAGTAGTCTTGCCTGTCTTGTCGGTCACATCGACACCTTGTGCCATAGGCTTCGGTCTATCATCGAAAATGATTTTCTTGGCAGTGGCGCCCGTGATGAGGTGCAGGTTAGGGCGCCTCTGGATGGGATCGTAGTATGCATAACGGGCGTGGGCGCGGCGTCCAGTGGTCGCGTCCATGGTGTTGGGGTACCACGAGACACCATAAGCATCTCCGTCATTTCCGTCGACTGGCACATGAACACCACTAGCCTTCCATGCTGCCCAGTAAGCCTTAATATCTTGATATTGGGTTGATGTGATGGAGACGGGGAGCGGCCCCTTGCCGTAGGTTGAGAGGTCAAAGGTGATGTTGAAGTCACGGATAGTCTTCTCAGAAGGAGGCTGGAATGTAGTGCCCTTGATGAAGTAGGGCTCCATTCCCTCCCAGCCCCAACCTTTGTTACCAAGGGCCTCCCAAGCATCATAATCAGCGGCAGCACCACGGTCATAGACCATGCCGTTAATGACTGAACCACCACCCAGGACTTTTGCTGCTACAACTGGGAATGAGCTATTGCCAAGACCAGGTTCAGCCACTGAGGTGTAGTTCTCCCAAATCAGTCCGTTGGCAGAGCTGAGGTTATTGGCTAACCATGGAATCTTGGTCGCGGGCGTATCGACATTGTCGCCAGCCTCAATGACGAGAACGGTCTCTGTTTCGGTGGTGTGAGTAGATACATGTTTATCGCATTCTGGTGGGATACATACTGCTCGAGTCTTCACTAAGACGGTTGGCTACAGTCAAGCCACTGACACCTCCACCAACAATGACATAGTCGTATTGTTGGTTGTATGCCGCACCAAGAACGGGCGACACGAAAACAGCAAGGAGCTGGACAGCGACAGCCAAGCGTGAGAATGCAGGCATCTTGACACACAGAAAAGCAGATTAGTCTATTAACGAGTGTACGTATGGGTCGGTCTGGTGTGGTATTTCAAAAATGTGCAGGCAATATATGCTTTATACGGGCCGAACTTTTTGCTGAGTCGTTGCTTGCATTGGTCGAGAACCTATCAGCCACGTGGGAAATGGTGGGTGCGGCCTTATCCCTCCGACATAAAAGATACTTATTTGGACGGCTCGCTAAGTCAGGGCGATAATGCTCAATTGATGCATTGGGTGCAGCCACGCTCGACTGCATGTACCTATTCGTTCTAGAAAAACCAGAATGGGGTGATGTGAAAGGGGACGTTTCAATAGATGTGATCCTGTAGCCAGACATGCAAAGCGAACGTGCCCCTGACTGCACCGTGACGCTTTGGGAGGCCTGTCAGGCACCGGCGGAACCCGGTCAACGGAACCAAGGGCAATTCAATTCTTACCTAAGGATGGGTTTTAGTGGACAGATACTGCGGTCTATGCACCAAATGGAGGGAGGGGTCTTCGGCAGAAGAAGCGGTTGTTGATGAAGGCACGTCCGCATGTTCTGGCCAATCTTACTTTCGCCAACTAGTGCGCCACCCCGCTACATCCTGGGTCCAAGGAAGGAACTTCAGTTTCGGACGACGATGCGTTTGGGTTTAAGCGACACGTGAGGCTCCCGTAGCAGCGGCAGAGGCGTCCGCAACGGCGGCTGAGGCACCATACAAACATTCCCATGTATGCGTATGGGGAAAAGGTTACTAAATTATGGCCATGGGAAGCCGGTAGTGCGTGTCGGAGATTTCACGCAGAATAGCTGCATATTCCATGTTAACCTTGAATACAGCTAGGTGGTACAGAAATACTTTTCGCTGCGTAATCCTTGCCTGCCGTGTGTGGTTAAGGCGCTCGACAAGCTAATGTGCCGATTCGCCCATGCAGTATGTAATGTTACTCGGAGCTTTTGAGCTGGTCGCCTTTCTAGTAGTAGCTGTCGCTTGTTGGCCAGATCAACAACGCCGCGTGCCCCCCCTGTAATCTACAATACATCCTTACTTAGACTGGTAACCCCCTCGACTCTGATGCGAACGTGAACGGCCTGCATGCACATGTGCACCTTCAAGTGGTGGTTGCCACTACCACGCGACCGCCAAAACGAACACGGGCCGTCTCCAAGATTAGAGGGTAGTCTCGGTATTGAATCGGCAGGGCAAATATGGGTGGTCAGCCACCCAATGGCTGTGTGAGCCGGCAGTGGCCCGCCTCAGCTGATTTTGCCGTGCCGTCTTCTACTGACCCTGAGGTTTTGCATAGACTCGACTAGCTTCGGACGTTGGTGCTAACTACGGATGGCGGACTTGAGAACAGGCTTGCAGGCTTATGGCTTCTGGCTCCATGGTCGTTCTATACGCGGATAGGCCTGATGACATGAGGTTCGCTTGGGGATGTCGGGTGATGGAACGGGCAGCAGAAGCAATATTGTGGCGTCGTCACCAAGGGTTTAGGAGGACAGAGGCAGGCGGAAACGATGCGGAGTTTTGGGCGGTGGGTTTGGCGCTGCGGAATAAAGCGGCCCTACGGGACGCTAACAAGGCTGACCCCACTAGCGCCCTGTGCCTCTCCCGCTCCCATCGTGCCATCTCATCGTGCGACGAGTCGTAAAGGCATCCGCACCACCGCGAACCATGGAATTGTGCCTGATTTGCCCGCACACGCTCTGTGCCGACCGCCTGGTAAACACTGCTGTGTGCAAACCACGTTGCACCACTGTTGCGCATTGTGTCATGCATCAATGACAGGACTTGGTCTACGACATCCGCCGTCTCTGTCCTGGGAAGCCCACCCGTACAGTGACATGATTCCCCCGTTTCTGCACCTGTGATGACCCGTCTTCTATGCATTCTCTTGATTCATGGCTGCTCTACCACCCTGGACCCTTTCTCCAATTGGGCCGGCTTGCAGCGTGCATGGTCTCGTTTATGCACAAACACAGCCTGGGTCAGCTCATTAGCTTTGATGTAAGGATGCGTACGTATCGCAAACCTCCGAGCCGGCTCGTCTCGAGAATCGCTCTGGAGCGCATGTACGGGCCTTCTATGATCGATCTGGCCCTCTCACCCGCCTCTGTAGCCGGTCGACTTTGGACTCACGCTTTGCTCAGTTGGACACAGTACCGCCAACATACTAACAGAGATTGGGCCTGAATCCAAGTACACATACATGCTATATCCTTACACACATCACCGACTCCGAATGGACGTTTCTGCCTCTTCTTCTTCATCTTGACTACGACCGTCCACCCCGGCACAGTATGGATCCAGTCACCCAGCAATGGCCCAATCGGCGACTTGAAATCCTCATACCAATGTGGTCGATGACATTGATCGCCACTGTGTTTCTCGTGTGGAGAGTTGTCTACGGCTTTTCTCAATCTCGCAGATTCATGACTAGTGATTATCTGTTGATCATCGCAGGTGTAAGTCTTACTTTTCAGCCCTATATCTGTTCCCACGGCAGTTCGCAATTCTGACCTAAACCCTTACAGGCTCTAAGCATCACCGCAACATCCCTTACCCAGGTTATCACAGACAATGGATTGGGTCGCCATGTTATGGACCCCACAGTCTTGCCTAATATCTTGAAGTATAGCTACTTTCTATGGATCACTCAGATCGTCAGTACGTTTATGAAGGCATCCATCAGAAGTGCATTCGCTGACTGTGTTTGCAGATATCATTGCCATGGCTTTTTTGAAGTGGTCCATTTGTGCATGGCTGCTTGTCCTGAACTTTTCTAAGATCTACCAAACCATCATCTGGCTGTCCATCCTGATGGTCACAGCCTTGAACTTCTTGGCCCCTGTCTTAACACTGTTTGGGTGCACGCCACTGGAGAAGAACTGGAACTTTGGATTTAAAGGAGAGAGCCACTGCTGGGCTAAAGGCACCCTCCCACAGTCCTATGCCCAGGGCATCAGCAATGTTGTCACTGATGTTGTTTACATGGCTGCACCCCTGATCTATCTATCACGTGTGCAACTGAACCGACGAACTCAGTGGGGGATTCGTATAGTTTTTCTGCTCAGTATCCCGTAAGTCCAAAGACGTCCAGAAATTGTAAAATCCCTTCCAACTAACATTGACCCCTCTTCTAGTGCCACAATTTGCTCCATCTTCAAGACTATTGAGCTCAAAACCATCGTCTCAACCAGAGACCCGACCTGGGACGGAGTACCGTTGACTGTCTGGTCCGGTGCTGAACTCTCCCTCGGCATCATAATCGCATCACTCCCACCCCTGCGCAAAGCCTTTGACCACTTCTTCTCCAAGATCCTCCCATCGACCCTGACCGGCTCAAGCAGAACCCCAGCTTACGGGTACGGCGGCAACTCTACAATCGGAGGCGGCGCTGGAGGAAGCAATGGCATCCCCTTGAAGAACTTCCAGGGCAGCAAAGCCTACCACTCGCGTATCCCCGGCGAAAGCGTCCTTGACGATGACAGCGACCGCGCCATTCTCACAGACGAAGAAGAACACAAGGGACCAGGCATCATGGAGAGCATGAACGTCGAAGTGCGAGTCAGCGAGCATGGTCCCCCCTCAGGACTGCACCCCGCTAGCGGAAGTAACAGATCAAGCACCGGCGACGCATCACCACCCATTTCGAAAACTTTCGAGTCCCCGCAGATCGACTGGTCGAGCCCGCACATTGAGAGCGGAAACGGCGGTCCTGGTCCTCGCGTATGATGAACGAACCCTACCTACGTAAACCCCCCCATTATTTTGACTTCAATCACGTTTATATACCACTTTATTTTCTGTAAGAAACGACCTAGGATGGGTGCTCTCCTAGTTAGGAAGGGGGAAAAAAAAATAAACAGGGTAATGGATGGGGTGTACGTAAAAGGCATCTATACAGGGATATTTTCTTTTGTGCATAGTTTTCCTATCTTTTCTTGTTCTTGAATATCTATCAGGATACCATCATGATTCTGGCCGAAAAAAAAACAGAGATGAAAAAAGCAGGAAGCTGGTGTTTGCAGGATTTCGATACCCCCCCTTTTTTTTGTACTCTTCTTTTGTTTGGCAGGATAGTACTAGTAGCGGAATTGACAGACGTCAAGGATATGGTTAAGACTTAGTTGTATTGAAAGTCATGTAGCTGTTGTTGTTCTGTTTTTGACAGACAGACACACACACACACACACACACACACACACACACACACACACACACACACACACACATGCATGCTATGAACCCCATCTCTATAGTAACGTATAGTATATGCAATCATGAAAGTTCGATCTGCAACGCAGGTTTTTTCAGGCCTGCAGTTGTAATGACATTACAGACAAGCGAATGCGATAGGGTTTTGACGCGAGAGACTTAGTATGTAACTAGGGTTCGCTACACCATGTTGATCCCTAATAGATATGACCTGCCTATAGGAATTCTTCCTGCTTTGTAACACTTGTCAAAGCGCTGACTATCACTTAAGCCGAATCGGGATCGGGATTGGGTTCCGACACAACATGGCGCATTCGACCTGTAACCCGGTGGCTGTAAACTTTATTCTGTGCTTAGGGTTATTCATAGTAGACAGCTGCATTTCGAGTGGCGGCTCACGACCCGGGGGAATATGGCCCAATGAAGAGGTAAATGGCGCATGCGATAACAGAGACGGGCTAATATTAAAGGGGGAGGGGAGGTGATATGTGAACCAGATAAGACTATTACTAAGTATTTTGAAGCAAATTTTGTGCGTGAAAAGTATCAAAAGTTGCATGCAGCGTCTACCTCATGTCATGGTGAACATTACGTCGTTTCTATAAGAGCCGTTTTAAACATTTAGGCATCAACATCGCATCATCTCAGTAGAAGGAAAAAGACTAGAAGACAGCCCAACGAAAAGTGCCCTAGCCCAAAGTCGCAGTGGTGAGGCGACTCCAAAAGTTTATGTAGATTCGCTACCGCGGTGCTGGTTCTGACGTTGGAGGCGGTCGTGTTCGCTACTACGCAAGAGACGACGGCAAGATTATGACTCGCGGATATCAATCATCGTGTTCCCCCTCTTTATACCATGCTCTGTCTTTTCTGACTCTTGGCTCTCGTCGTCGACCAAAGTCCCCATCCGCACCAGTCCGCTCTGTCGCCCTTCCCCCATTCTTTGTACCATGCGCTGGATATTTGGGTGGCTAGGCTGCGGTCTTCCACTCGAAAATCTCCTTGACGCTGCATAACTTGCACCCAACCTCGTGCGCATACCCTCTTGTGTAGACAGCGTGCGATTGACAGGACCGCGTGGAGGTATGTTCTCATCATCTGGGAGTTTTTCCTTGTCCTTTTTTGGTGAGATGAAGCGCCAGAGCTCTTTGGTCTTTTGCGCCCAGATGCTGTAGCCGTATTTGGTGGAGAGAAAACCGATAATACTGAAGAAGGGTATGCATATGGCGACGAGTACCACTGCAAAGTTTGTGAAACCCGCTTTGTCAGGCATGTTAGTCATGCCGAAAATGGAGGTGACAAAAGTAAGGGGCTGTCCGGGATTGTCAGTAAAATTTGTTTGCTATTTTCGCACACGCTACACCCTTGTGCTTTTTTAGACTTACCATGAAGAACAAGTTGACAATGGTAAGGACTTTGATGTTGTAACCTTGATGCACAGTAACATCTGCTAATTCCACAGACTTCCGGGATTCTTGGATACTCGTGCCTGAGAAGAGCTGTTCCTGCAATGTCTCAATCTCATGTCTTCTTTCATTATTCTCAGCTATGATTGTCCGAAGCTCCTTCATCTCTCGCTCAAATTGCAGTCTTAGTAAGCGCAGGCGACGTCTCCAATGTTCGTTCCGCGGAGATTCTTCAAAGAGCGGCCACAGCATCTTATTCCTTCCTTCCCAAATATCTTCAGTAAAGGTATCTTCAAAAGCGTCTATCATGGATTTGATGCTATTGTTGACACTGCCCAGGGTCTGGTGGGCGTAGAAGTACCGACGTGTCCAGGTAAAATCCTTATCTTCGAAAAGTCGGTTTTGCCGCAGTTTCTCGTCAAATAAGAAGCCTAGCGGCGGAGTGACGAGTTCGGTGATGCGCTTGTATATCTCGTCATATCTCTTTCTCGCATCTCGGTACTCTGTCAGAAGAGAATGCAGAAAAGCCTCGGCGCCGTTGAGAAACTTGTGACCACTCTCAAACGTGTAGGGGGTTCCTTGCGTTGGCTGTGATTTCCAATCGGGAAAACACTCTAATTGGAGGACTTGATAGGGCGACCAAATGTCGTAGACCCATCCAAACCGGGTTTTGGCACGTCTTGCCCGATTACGGATGCGGCGAGGGTTCTCGTCATGGAGGACTAGTGCAACGATGGCACTGCATCGGGCCAAGGGGATGTGGTGTTCGGAATCACGACTCGTCTTGTCAGCGAGCTGCCATTGCATCGGTTTGCACTCCTCTCCCACAATTGTGTAATACTCAAAATTGAAGAAGAAAGAGTTTTGGTGCTTAGGATCCTCGTCAAAAGCCCTGAACATATGCGCAGAAGACGCGTCCGTCTCGACGAGTTTTTGGAAGAGCTCGTCCATGTCGAAGGCATTGTGCAGAGTCAGATGCAGGGCGCCGAAGAGAATCGGCGAAGGTTCGCGGGCAATGGTGATGCGTCCTACCACAACTTCGTCGTCATGTTTGTGGATTTCCTTTAGTGATTCCCAGATTTGACGTGCATTGGACATGTCGTTTTCGGGACTAGCAGCCTCGATTAATTTGGGGACGCCATCTTGACCGACGTTGTAGACTTGGAAATGTGAGTAATGGCTGCGGTCTTCTGGATTTGCGTCCTGGTGAAATAGGTGGGGCTGCTTGGAAAGCTTGACAGGATCAGAGAGGATGGGTGCTAATATTTCTCTGCCGTGCAAGTTCCACGAGTGATTCTTGAGATGGTCGCGGAGGTGTTCGTGGTCGAACGAGTGAGAGGGGAGCTCGGCCTGGACAAAGAAATCATCTTCGTCGTCGTCGCTGTCATCTGAAAGTGTGGATGTGTCGGCAAAGACGGTATCGCCACCGAGCCGGGTGGAACTGCGACGCAGGTGGGTAGCATCGGATGGTTTGAAGATGTCATTGGTCGAGAGACTGTTTAGCAGGGCATCATGCGAGCGCTGCAGCGACTCCAGCTGCTGTTTCAGCACCTCGAGCTCTGTCTCCGCCATCTGCCCGACCTGTCGCTATGTGATGTGGCCTCAAGGAGGCAAGATGGCAGAAGGCGAGGCCGTGAAGCTTATGTCGCCTAGCAATGGCGATTGCTTTCTTGGCCCCCACCCCAACTTTGCAGGAGGCCCAGCCTTCTGTTGAGTGGTCGACTACCTTCATCCAATCTCTACACAAGCCACGGTGGAGCGGACGCATGAGCCTCGCCCAGAAGAGGCGCGATTGACCTTGAGCAGTCATTGCAGAGGGCAATTGTGAGAACTCGATGGTGACACTCACCGCCCTTTCTGGTCGCCAAGCATCCTGAAAATCCGGTGCGTGCGGATCCTGAAGCACAGAGCGAGAGAGCTTGACCAACAACCTGCGCCAGTGACAGCGGATCCGCGGCATGCAAAGTGAGATGGCTGGTTATCGCCTCCACCACGGGGAGCGGGTGAAGGAGCCGGCGAGGCACACGCCAAGAGCCGCCTGGGTGCATGTGTAGAGTATGTGCGTGTCCAAATCCCCACCCCGGCGCTCCATGCTCGCCACCGTTTCGCAAACCAGCTGGCAGTGCCATGTGTCTAGGTTGATTCTACGGCGCCGCCTAGAAGACCAAGCGAACCGTCTAGTAGTGTACATGAAAACGGACCAATGCACATGGAACAGGCACAGCTCCGCCCGCTCATGCATCATTGGTGCTCGCTTACTCGCCCCAGTCCACAAAATTCCCCGATGCTACTCACGCATTTTATGCCTTTCAACCCGCAGCCGTTGCTAGTCGGGAGTTGAAGAGCTACAATGCCCTCCACACGCATCTATTTCTGGCTGTCCCTCCCGGTAGTACTGGTGGCCCTCATCTATCAGCTTGGACTACCGGCTTTCATTAGTGAACGACTCCCAAACTTACGCGTCACGACTCATTGCTATAAATCTGTCAAAACCTTGTCTCCAGAGTTACTACACCTAGATTGTTTTACAGTCAACGACGGTCTTTTCTCAAGTGTCTTCGCTGGTGATGCTTCTCCCGATGAGGTCAAGGAGGCCCGCACTGGATACGTGTACCCAGGCTTGTGGGATGGGCACGGCCATCTAATACAGTTTGGAGAGTCTCTAGACTCTGTAAGCTTATTCGGTGCAAGCTCAATGGCTGAAGTCCAGGAAAGGCTACTCGAGTACAAAGCGGGCCGTCCCGATGAGGGCACAAGCGATCAGTGGCTGAGGGGCGTAGGCTGGGATCAGGCGCATTTCGGACGGTGGCCAACCTCAGTACGTGCCACCAATACCTTTACGAGCCAATCACCCCTTAGACAAAAATGTAGGACAAACTCCATGGTGTGTCACAGAAGCATTCGTGGTGGGACAGGCACAATGATCATACATCACCACTGCTTTTGCTAAACACTATTGGTATTCGTCGTAGGGTTTTTGTTGGGGGGATGCAGTAATTGCCGAATTTGCTTGCTGACACCACGTTAGTCAGATCTAGAAATATCCAAAGACTTCAAAGGCCTCTATGTGATGCTGGACCGGGTGGATGTTCATTGCATCTGGGTTTCTGAAAAGGTCCTCGAACTTCTTCCATCGCCACTGCCAGATGTGCCTGGCGGTGAGATACCTGAGAAGGGCGTGTTCTGCGACAATGCCATGGACATCGTTCTGGAACACTATCCCAAGCCCGATGCAGCGCGGAAGACCAAGTTCATCAAAGCTGCAATGGCCAACTTGAACCAGTACGGTATTGTAGGGATGCACGATGCTGGAGTAATTGCAGAAGACTTGAAGCTATACGAAAAGCTTGCAAATGACGAGGACTGGACTGTTAGGGTGAACGCCATGATTGAATGCGACACTAGAAACACCTTTTGTCCAGAGGCAGTGGAAAGGATTAGCATGCCAAACGGAAAATTACAAGTCAAGAGTGTGAAACTTTTTGCAGGTATGTACTCATTGGTGTCATCTACATGGGGTGCTGACATGACAAAGATGGGGCACTGGGCAGCTGGGGCAGCGCAATGCTCGAACCTTATAGCGACAAACCCACGTCGTCGGGCTCGCTCCTTGTCAATGCAACCACGTTGTCAGAAGTCACGCTCAAGTGGGCCGAACAGGGATACCAAGTCAACATTCATGCCATAGGGGACCTTGCGAATAGGCTCGCCGTCGACGCTTTCGAGGCTGCCTTGAAAACGGTGTGTCCCGATGTCACCCCCTACGAATGCCAATCACAACGTCGTTTCCGGATTGAACATTTCCAAATAGTCCACCCAGATGACCAAGTCCGAATTAAAGAGCTTGGCATCATCCCATCTATACAACCTACACACGCGACATCGGACATGGAATATGCGGAAGCTAGGCTTGGCCGCCAGCGCACAAGCGATTCTGCGTATCGTATGCGTTCAATGGTATCTCAGGGGCTGGTTTTAGGCAGTGATTTTCCAGTTGAGCCTGCCAGTATCTTTGAAGGCATATACGCAGCCACTACGCGACGGAGCCCAAAAACAGGTCTAGATGCGGACGGCGGCAAAACTGGTTGGTATCCTGAAGAAAGACTCAATTTTGAACAAGCACTGAGGGGCTTTACCATTAACCCCGCGTATGCCGCATTTCTAGAAGGTAAAGCTGGTGTCATTCAAGTGGGGGCGTACGCAGACTGGATTGTTGTTGACGAGGACCTGGAAAAAATGGACTTTGAATCATTACGGAAGGCAACAGTAAGGGAAACGTGGGTTGGCGGGAAACTGGTCTACCAAAGGCCCAGCGACGGGCAAGCTCCCCGTTAGAGGCACCAAAAGGCAATACCCGCCCACGAGCCTCTCCACCCCCCACACCTCGAATGACATGCTCGGGCTGTCCCGGCGTATCACGTTTCTCGGTGTCTCTGGCGGTTCTGGCGGCTCCTATGATCTCCCACGCAACTATCCCCTTCACGCCTGTCCTAGACCAACTATAGAAGCAAGCAGCGGTGCCTGATTTGCTTTCACGTAGGGCTTGAAGGTACAGAATGTACTGTTTCCCCACTTAGAGGGTCAAACTCTGCAGCTCTGCAGCAAACACTTATGTTCAATGCACAATAAACCCCACGTATTCGTGTTTTATGGCCGAATTTCCTTGGTCTAGCCTCAAACTCTGACATGACCAGCATGGTGCTCATGTGTGATTGACCAACCAGCGCCACTACATTGGTGCTTATTATTTTTGACCAAGTGGCTTACATCGGAAAGAGTTTGCTAGTCTTCACCCACACATCCCACACGCCTCACTCTTGGGGCTTGATGCCTAATGGTGGATCATGAAGTCTTTGATACAAAAGACATTTACTATTTTAACCACTGCTGCACTCTGCATTCCCACCTTACATACTACCAGTAGAAAGACCCCAAGAAAGCACCTTGTTGAACAAACAATATGGCGACCACTCAACTTCCCTCAACTACCAGTATATCAAAGCCGACGCCCTTGGCCAAGACCCTCACGGTTACCCCTCCGGTCACTCCAAATGGAATAAGCGCGGCAGTACACCAACTAGTGGCTGAGATAAGAGATATTCATTCCAGGCTTAGTGAACTATCGTCATTGGCGCCCTCGTATCAGGTCAACACCCTCTTGACACGCCTGGTAAATCTATGTGTGGTGCCTTACAGCGCCGAATTCACCGCCTACTTTTTCAACATCTCGGGTGTGGAGCAACTCTGTGATAAGTTACGTCCAATATGTTCCGAAGCCGAAGGAGAACTAGAAAAGTTCCACACAGAGCGAATGTTGAAAGAACTGGGTACGTTACCATCATGCAGAACGTTCCCCCGGGGAGAGAGAGAAGAGAAAAACATGCTAATATCTCTCTGCAAAGACACCATCCAAGAAGCGGCCTCGATTACCACCATTCTCCAATCATTCCCTTACTACGACAACTACGTTGACCTTTCCCGCCTGGAAGCCTCACTCATCAATGCCTTTGCTTCCTCCCCACCAACCTCCATCGCCTTCATCGGCTCGGGCCCCCTACCCTTGACATCCCTATGCTTCCTATCTCAATACCCCAACGCACACATCCACAACGTCGACCGTGACGCTACTGCCCTGCGCCTCAGCGCCGCCCTATGCACTAAACTGGGCTTCTCGCAACGCATGAGCTTTACGAATGAAGACATCACGCAGGAAGGCCCCGAGACCCAAGTTTCCTGGACGGAATCCCAGGTTGTGTTCTTGGCTGCACTCGTGGGTACCGATACGCGATCCAAGTTGGAGATTCTGAGGGACTTGGCGGCCAGGTTACAGCCGGGTTGTTTGGTTGTGGCTAGGAGCGCGAGGGGGATGAGGAGTGTGCTTTATCCCGTAAGTTGTCATCCCCCTTTTTTTTTTCTTTCTTTCTTTCTTGAATACATTGAATTATGCTACTTTATATTCGAGTATACTGCAAAAACAATGTTATGCTAAACACGTGATTGCTGATTGTACCACAAATAGATCCTACAACTCTCAGAAGACTTGCAAGCGATTGGACTGGAAATGCTGGCTGAGCTGCACCCGTGGACGAATGTCGTAAATTCTGCTATTGTGCTTCGTGTAAAAGAGAGGTGAAGGCGGTCAAATATTGACTAGGGAGATGGAAAATGCAAAAAGGGCATCGATGATGTCCATGGTTGATTTCTGGTGTCATTGCGACAGATACGTTTTGGATCTGGTGGTGCGAGAGCCATGTAAGGTATTCGTAGTTGGTCTATCCACCCATTGCAATGGGCGAAGTCTAGAATGGGTGGTACAGTAGGTACAAAACATATTCGTAGTCGATCCTTAAGTTCACTACAGCGCATGCAGTGTGAATTTGGTGGTGCATTGATAGGTACGTAGGAAGATTCACGCGGTTGATCTGTGGACGCGCTGAGACGGATGGGCTTGATCTAAGTGAGCCGCCTAGGAAGTATAGGATTTCCACGCAGTTGATCTCTGAGTTTGTTGCGACAGTTGTATCGTAGATTTGGTGGTGTATTACGAATTTCACTGCGCAGAACCTTACTAGCACCTCCTTTGGGTTTAGCCGCTCCCCGTTAGTAGGGATTTCAAAGAATTGTTCAAACGACAACGATATGTGCTGTACTGCAGATACATCTTAAAAGCAGTTGATGGGTTAGCAAATGCGGATGGTGTATGCAAAGAGTCCCATCAAGCCCCAATATCACCCCGCAACACTCTGGCTGCTTTCAATGTCCACTGCTCTGACTGTTTGGTCGTCGCATTCGTTTTCTGTTTCACCGATCGGTTGGAACATACAGCTGCCAGCCTTACATTCTATTTACCTTCAAAGAATATTTTTTTTTCGAAACATGTATGCTGCTGCCTTGTTAGTCACGAGCTGTTCGGCGGGATGGACCGGAGAAGAGTGGTATTACGGACGCCTTACATCGGCCAACCGATCCGTCGAACATTGTGTTCAAAGTGATTCAAAAACCTCACTATCTGCCTCTGAAAAAATCAGAAATTTTGAGTAATCAATAAAAAAAAAATCATTCTTCATTTTACCCGCCGAAAATAAACGCACAATTTCCAAGATAGAATCGCTTCTGTCAATGGCGTCCCACGAAAACGAGCCGGACCAAAGTCTTAACGACAACAGCTCCAAAACTTGCACCCTCCCCGACGGACGAAAGCTAGGATACGCAGAATATGGCTTGCCAACTGGCCACGCAATCCTCTACCAACACGGCCTGCCCGGCTCTCGTCTCGAAGCCTCCTCCTACCACGACCTTGCCATCTCCCTCGGCGCCAGAATCATCGCCATCGACAGACCAGGCATAGGTCTCAGCTCGCCACATGCATCCCGGACCCTTCTCTCCTGGCCCAAAGACGTCGAGCACCTCACCCAGCACCTGGGCTTGAAGTCCTACTCGGTAATGGGCGTGTCGGGCGGCGGACCCTACACCCTCGCCTGCGCCTTTGGCCTCCCTGCCGCAAACCTAAAATGCGTATCTGTAATCTGCGGCCTGGGTCCTCCCGACATGAGCATGTGGAGCGCCGATATGGTGCACTGGCTTAGTTTTCCCTATGGCTGGCGCTTTGCCCCGGACTTTTTGCTAGAGTCCTTCTTTCGACTTGATGTTTTCGGTCGCATGGAGCTGAGCGATGAGGAGAAGCTGCGGAAGATGACGGAGTCCGAGCGCCTTGCTTCGATTAAGAATCCCAAGAACAAACGGATTCTAAGTGATGAGGCGTTTTTGACGGTGGCGCTCAGGGCGGGTCGCGAGGCGCAGAGGCAGGGGTTTGGGGGTGTGGCGCTGGATGGAAAGGTTGTGTGTCGGGACTGGGGGTTCAAGATTGAAGGGATTAGAAGGGATTTACCGGTTAAGTTATGGTATGGCAAAGATGATGTTTTTATTCCGCCGAATCATGGGGTTGAGACTGCGGCGAGGCTGGAGGGTGTTGGGGGGAAGGTTGTGCTGAGGTTGAAAGAGGATGATACGCATTATAGTATTTCGCAGGATTGGAAGAAGGAGCAGCTTGAGGCTATTCTTGTGGAGATGCGGGAATGAGTCTGTCAATTCCAGGGCACTCACGATAGTTTCTTCTTTCTCCACTCTGCGTAGAAGTTGTATGGGTAATGTTTTTCTTGTATATATGTGAAATGTATGGTGTTTTAAATACGACGTGGTAGATTAAACATTTCGAGAATGCCAATGGTAGAAACATAATCAAGGATTTCCTCAAGCAACAACACAGACATATGACATTGCCCACATACTCCTACAATCGGCACCAATGCCATTGTTCCATGTAACAAAGTCAACCAAAGTAATCTTTTGGCAGCTGATCATCTGCGAGCGAAGGCAGGCGAGCTATGGTGCAGCTATTATTTGCATTATCACCCCAAAACAGGCTGATGAAGCAAATGATGAAGGAGGAGTGATGAAGCTTTCCTGCATGGTGTTGCGGTTATGTTGGGATAGGTTACGATAAGCTACGATACAGGATGGTGATTTGGTGGGATCTTGGCGCTGGGAGCAACTTGCCCAGTTAAGCTAGTTGTTATACAGCGTACTGGACGTATAGAGCTTATCATCGCTTGACATTTTTTCACTCTGTTTGCTATATAGCGTATCAGATCAATTATCTCAGAAAAGAATAGCAGGCTACACCCTAACCT